ACCCCTGAGTTTAGTTTTACCATAGTCCTTATGTATCTCCAAGTCTACCCATGTCTTAGAATAAAACAACAAGAGGACAATAACATAGATTCACAACAAAATTTGGGTATTTGAAATAGAGTTGTCACAATAATCACTATATCGACTTATCATTCGATATACAGTATGAAAGCTGGAACAGTATATTTTGGGGCTCAGTATATATATGTACATTTTTTTTGTAAAAGTGGGTTGGGGTATTTTTGTGTAATACAATAACATTTGAACTGTAATAGGTTGAATAATTATTTTATGGCTAATTATCTGATTCTACTATTTATTTGTTGCAGCTCAGGCCCCTGCATCATACTGTCTATTTTAAAATGGTTTACTGGGATTATCTTGCATTATTGTTATTGTGTCAGTGTCATAAAGTATTATTACGTATCGCAGTATATCTCTCTAGCAATATCTCATGCTTTAAAATTTGTTATCGTGACATGACGACATGATGTGAAAATTATTGTTCACATATGGCAATAAAAATAAATCCGGGTTGTGGAATATTGTGAGTCTTTATTTCATGCAGGTAAAATTAACAGTACTTGAATTTCTCAGTTCTGTTTCCTTTGCACTGTGTGACCTGAGCAAAGAGTGGACCCTGTGAGTATGTTTAAAACATTGCTCCTATATTTAGAGTGATACTGACACCCAAAGGCAGAGACTTCCTAGGATCAGATCAGCTCTACACTGTGTCATTGCCACTTCTTTATTTTAGATCCCACTGAAGACCTAGTTCCAGGTCAACTGACTGATTGGCCTAGACAGCCGGGCGGCCATGCTTTTTTGAGTGGGCAATGCATCTATGTACAAATCTTTTTAAACACTACTCAGCAGTTCTAAGTAGGCGTAAATGCTAGCTCCCAACTGTGACATTACCTTAGTATGACACACATTAAATACATTCAGTATTTATGGGCCAGATAATGATAGGGAATCTGAAAAATCTCTTCCTACTACAAAAGATTTCAGAACTAGCAATGTGGTGATAAAATTATTATTAATGGTGGTGCCAGGTTGTTGTTGTTGTTGTTGTTGTTGTCCTTCATGAATAATATAATGATGTGTGTTATAAAGTATGTTGAAAACATCTAGCAGTCCTGGAGATGAGAATACATTTTGTTGATTCACCTGCTCTGCTCTAGAAACTATTGTCAAATTCTGTTAAATCCACACCTCAAAGTTGTGCTGTGACGATATATGCCCGATGTTGCATTGGTGTTGTTTATAAATGAGGGTGGTGCAGTAAATGTTGCAGGATTATTCCGAGCTGAAGGCTAATCTCATTATGGCAGGACCACAGCAGTAGGACTAAGCACAGGTCGCATGGGGAATCCCTGTGTTACACTTGAGCTCACACGTGAACTCAAGCATACAGTGCAAAGTCCTCAGAGAACAACTGTATGTTATTAAGAGCATCCATTTAAAAAAAAAAAATGCTGAGAGAGGTGAAGAGATATCTTGATCATCATTTTAGCACCACAACTGATAACACCTGGTGCTTGCTTACTTTTTCCTACTTAATCAATGAATCATAGTTATTGCACAGTTTTAATGTCATGTTAATAATTGTATCTATTGTATAATTTCTATTTAATTGGATTCATTTGTAGAGAGTAGCTGAACTGTTTCCAATTCTAATTATGGAGTCTTTTGTTTTGTTTGAAATAGGAGGGATTTTTCACCAGTTGCTCTTAACAAACAATGACAAAGTTAGAAAAATCTAGATTATTGTGCCATTGTTTTATGTTTTTGTTTTTTGTTTTTTGTAAAGAGTTGAAGCAAGTCGTCTTTTGAACAGTATTGATATGTATCCCTCATCCAACCAGGAGTATCTAATAAAGTTTCAGTACGATAGCATCTTTGACTTAAAACCCTATTAAAACCTTGGACTAAAAATAACTGGTATCTCCTCATTTTCCAAATAAACGTGAGGCTTATCCCTGGTGACAAGTTGCCGACACTGAGCAGACATGACTGTAAAGGTTACTGTGACAAGCCCATGACCATGACCCTGAATGCATCTGGCTAAGTGTTCCCTGCATCAAGAGGACACTTTATTTCCAGGTACTCTTCTTTTGCTTTTGAGAGATGTTTCAACTGGATGTAGTTGTTAAATGTTAGTTTTAGAGTTAACACAAAGCTCCTTATTGTTTAATTCTTACTTAGTGTTTTTGTCATATTCTCTTCTGTTTTAAAGTTTAAAAAATAGTTTTAAAAGTCACAAGGGTAGCTGTTTTAAAGTGCATGTCCTCCCTGCTCTGATGCAAAATCATAATATAGTTTAACTGATTTATTTCACTTTGCTGGAGAGAGCTTGGTCCATGGGTTTTAGGGAATAGTAGTAATCATTAGGGTTAGCTTTGTGCTTTCCTCTTTAAGCCTGGCAGTACAAGACTAACTCCCATCAGGGGGGTGTGCTACTGCCCTGCACTGCCCTCACCTACAGTGGCTTTTACTGTATCCACCTCCTGTCCACCAGATAACGGATTTGTCAGTAACATGCAAACAAGGGATTTGTGCATGCAGGTTATCAAAACTCACTGCTCAGATGCATAATAACATACACAAATGGAAAGTAGGATCACTAAAATGAACTGTGCCTATGACGAAGCACTTGTTGAGCTTGCCATTGTTATTGGACTTATGTCTTTGGTTTGTGGCATTCAGTATTGTAGAAGCAGCTATAAGAGCTATTTTCTAATATTGTTTGTTTTGCAAATCAGATTGCATCTCACTGTGGATCAGCAATATATTACACAATCACATTATGTCATTGAGCTGTGTGTTCTGTTCTGTCATTCTGGACCACATATGATGCACATACACAAATAGACTATACAATAAACAATGAAAATCATAATGCAGACAACAATTATCCATGCCCTGCGCAGGAATAATAGGGCTCATATCAGACGCAGTCGCAGCTTATGAGATCTTTCCGTGTCGTGACCTGAATACCTCACTGCTGAAGCCAGGCCAGCCACTCATTAACATTCCTATACAGCTCTAATCACTGTTAGTGTGTGTAAGTCTGACAGAGCGTGCACGTACTTATGTGTGTGTGTATCTGAGAGCGTGCATGTACAATAGGTACAGATATCTATCACATTGTGGGGACTAAAATCTGTATACAGTTCACTGCATGGGGACCTTTATTTATCATTTATTACATTATTAGATCAACAACATAACTTAAAGTTCAGCTCAGGGTTACAATAGGTTAAAGTTAGAAAAGAAGTGACTGTGGTATGAGAAACCCAGCATGTATGTCTATAAGTGTGTGTATGTGTATGTGTGTATGTGTGTGCTTGTGTGCAGTGTGTGTGTGTGTGTGTGTGTGTGTGTGTGTGTGTGTGTGTGCTCGTGTGTCTGAGCGTGCAAATACATACATTTGTGTTTGTATGTGATGCTGTATGGCACGTGTGCAGGTGTGAGTGAGGAGACAGTGAGAATGTGATGAAGTGCCTGCTGCTGGTGACCGTGCTGTTGCTGGATTGTCTCCAAATGCATTTGCTCACAGTTAACGTGCAGTCTGCTTCCACTTTCACATGGACAAACAAACTTTAAAATTCAGGAAAGGGCTTGCATATTACCTCATATTTAAGTATGTGGTGTCCAGTTACTCAATTACTTTTCTATCAATATTTTTTTTTGATAAACTGTTAATATCATTTACATCTTGCAAATCATAAAAAGTCCTTCGCTTGCATAATGTTTACTTCCGCTATTTAAAGGTAAGATATATAACATCTGGCCACCTGCTTGTGTTCATGGAGATTGCGCTGCCTGGAATGTCCCAGTCCCAGTATTGCATTAAAACAGGGGTGTCCAAACTATGGCCTGGGAGCCAAATGTGGTCCTCAGACCCATGTTTGTTGGCCCTCAGGCTTCTTGCTTAATTGATCCAAATGACACCCTGCTTTTATAACTAAAAGGGCCTACATTATGCTATTTTTTGATCTATGTTATAATGCAACATAGAGTTCTTCTCTCAAACTGAAAACACCTTGTTCCACCTTGTCACATCATGTGGTAAGGAAGTGTTCAGCTATGTTTTTAAACTCCATACACTTTCACTAGAAACATTTGGATGATTTCAGCCCTGGAATTTCCAACTCTACTGAACTAAAGGTAAAAGGAGCCATTAACTTAAAAGCTACCACTACATGATATCACAAGGTGGAACAGGGCATTTTGAACTTTGGAGATGTAGGCAGACCAATAAGAAAGGGTTATTTAAATGTGTGAAAGAAACAAAACACAACTCCAGGTATGTTTTTGAGGAGGTGACAACATTATAACAATGTTCTAACATGGCTTAGAGCTCACAAGAATCAATTTCGCATAATATGAGACCTTTAATTTAGTTGAGAGAGGCACAGATATCTTTTTTAGCTGCAAATACTCAAAGCATACTCTACTCTGCTCTTTCTATGTATGTATTTCTGTTATAATGAATCTGTGTTTGTCTGCGGTGCCATGTTTGCTCCATTTTGTGTAATATAGTATGTTTATAGGACCTGTAGTCCTATGCTACATATAAGTTTCAATATGTGGCTCTTGTGAAAAAAGTTTGTACTCACCTTCATTAAACCTATCTATCTATCTACCTATCTGGTATTTAAGTACATGTGTTTTTAATTTTGAAACTACCTTGAAAATTATTCATCCTTAATGTGAGGGGGATTGCCTCTCCACAGGTCTGACCTATAACATGACCTGGTGGCATCACCTCATTATCTGCATGGAGATTAATATGTTTAATGCCATACTGTGGAATATTTCAGGTAAAACAATAACATATCTATGGAGATATCCAAATGGCGGGCTCTGAAATTCAATAGCATTTTAATATTGACACAGATTATTATACACATTACAAACAGTAATCATATTTACTATAATAATCTATTATTTATTAAATGGCAAATGGTTTATATCCTATTTTTGTCCTACAGAAAAGCTGTATAACTCCAATGGCCGTGACTTGAGAAGAGCACTGTTCTCCCTGAAGCAGATTTTTCAGGTAACATTCTGTCACTTGTGGTGCAGTCAGAGCTCTGTCTGTCAGATAGCTGTGGCTGCTGTGTGCTTCCATGATGACAAGGATGTCCATCAACGTGGCATTTCTATGTGACCTCTGTCCCTGTGTGGGTGTTTGCAGTTGTTTTTTTGTTTTTGCTCTTGTAGTTACTATGCATAAAGCTAAATAAAACAAGAGAAAAATGGTAAGAAAGAACTGTAGTAAGTTTTTAATTTAAATTTAACTTCTTTATAGCTGTTTACAAAAAAACTGCACATTGCTGCAAAAATTTTACATAAAATGAAAGGTTTTAAAGATATTTGCCCTATAATGACAAAGATTGTTTCATACTGTGTTAAGGATGACAAAGACCTGGTGCACGAATTTGTAATGGCTGAGGGTCTGACATGTTTGATAAAAGTGGGAGCAGAGGCTGACCAAAATTACCAAAACTACATTCTCAGAGGTATGTGTATTTTCATTTTATTCCTCTTATCCATGGATTTCAGAATGATGAAAATTTCAAATTAATTAAGTGAATTGCTATAGTGACATTTTAAAACAAAATTTTATGTATTTTGAATGGGAAAAAATCCTCAAAATGTTGCATATGGCACAAAACAGTAATCCACACAATAGCTGAAGAAATTATGATTGAAATAAATAAAATAAACTATAATAATAAATAAATAAAATGAAATAAACAAATACCAGTTTATAGTATATTTTTTCTTTTGGTCTTGTTGTATCAGTAGTTCCTTTTTACAATTTAGTTCACCACCACCAACGATTGAGTAAACACAAATTCATACCACTAATATTATTCTAATACTAATATTTTCACTTTGTCCCTGCCACTATTCCAAACTTTATCTTTGTTTACCGTTTTGAAGCAGAAGCAAAACCGCCGCCCCAGAGGACTTTCCCTGTTATTTATAGGTGTAGACACATCCACAGTTGCTGCACAGTTGTCATTTAGTGCAATGGTTTTGTGTGTTTAGTCATCTTTCTAAATTAGCTCTCTGTCTTTCCCTTATTCTCAGCTCTGGGACAGATCATGCTGTATGTGGATGGGATGAATGGTGTCATTGCTCACACAGAGACAATTCAGTGGCTCTACACGCTGGTTGGCTCTAAGGTAGAGCATTGTGCAGATACAAACCTCACACAAACCACACAGGGTATTTTAAGTCACTTTGTGCATTTCTCCCTCAGTTCCGTTTAGTGGTGAAGACAGCCCTGAAGTTGTTACTGGTGTTTGTGGAGTACTCAGAGTCCAACGCCCCACTGCTCATAGAAGCCATTACCTCTGTAGACACTCAGAGAGGTACAGAAATGCACTGTGCCCCATGGAATGTGGTGGCAAACTATGTGTAATTGTCGAAAACCAGAATAATTTTGGATTATTTATTTTAACTAAATTGAATGTATTTATTTATATATAGGAAGTAAACCGTGGTCAAATTGTATGGAGATTTTACATGAAAAAGATGGTGTGGATACAGAGCTACTAGTGTATGCCATGAGTCTTATAAACAAGGTATGAGCATATCATTTCAATAATACAGCAGTCAGTTCAACATGATTTGTAATGTGCTGTGCTTTCCTTTCAGACTCTTGCAGCATTGCCAGATCAGGACTCATTCTATGACATGGTGGATAGTTTGGAGGAGCAGGGAATGGAAACTGTATCTCAGAGACACTTGGGGCGCAAGGGCACCGACCTGGATTTAGTGGAGCAGCTCAACATCTATGAGGTTGAAAAAGGTTTTTGGTATAAGCTTTAGCTGCATTTCATTCTTAGACTGATTTGTGGCCTACTGTTACCAGATGACTCTACGTCATGAGGACGGGGACGATGCCCAGCCTCCTCCTTCAGGACGGCGGGACAGACGCAGACCCAGTTTGGAGGTGGGAGAGAAGAGGCCTGGTTTACAGAGAAGGAAGAGTAGGAGAGCGTCTCTGAATCGCTCTGGACACGCCTCCCCCTGCAGCCCCGCGTCCCCCCAGAGAGCTGGCCTTCCACCCCTCAGTGGACACAGGACAGAGGACAAGAGTGACAGGTGAGACAGGGACATATTACAATTGTAAAATTTTAAGTGTTTCCAGAACTTTGACTGTTCTGTACTTGAACTCTGCACCAGAGCACTGTCAGGTTGTCTCCCGTCTATGTAAGTCCATGAAATGTTACCCAGAAAAGGTCTTGCCCTGACCTTTGTGCACTTCAATGCAGTCAGTTACAACCACTGCCCTCCCCTCTGTGCTGTAACATGGGACATTAAGCACTGGTTTTCCTTTGAACACAAACTAAAACATTTACAGTTCTGTTTTTACCCTTATGCAAGCAAGCATATTATAGAACAGTGCAGGCTTTTTCATTGCTGTGTACCTCCACACATCTGGTTACTCTGGATAAATGTTCTGACTATATTTAATTTTTTACCCACTTCAAGGTAGGTATTTATGTCAATAATGCACAACAAAAATTGCTCTATAAAAACATGCTTAGCATTAAATCTGCTGTGGGAAGACTCTTTTACAACATTCTTGTTATAGACTTCTATGACACTGATAAAAAGAAAAAGCAAGTTACAGGGGATAGAAGCTGCAGATCACCAAAACTCATTCTAAATTCTCTTCTGTGTGTGCTGTGCTTTATAGGCCGATGCATGAGAATTGGTTCATTTATGCTTTACTAATTTCACTATGTTTTCCATCTTCAATCCTTTTACATCTTCATGTTTTATTTCATGTTTTATCCATGTTTGTTATGTTTCACAACTTCTTTTCTTGAAATCACCTTTGTTTGTGCATCTATCTTCTACTGTCCCTTCCTGTGCATCTTCAGAGAAGAGGAAGGTGAGGATGATGAGGAAGAGGAGTCTGCGGTCACTGAGTCAGACTCAGATGAGCAGGGAGGGGCTCAAACAGTGTGTAGTGAGACCTCATTCAGGTATAGGAAGTAAAAAGTATACTTAAACAGAACTATTCTGTAAACTATATATGAAGTAACAACTCTAGTTCCCACATACTAACTTTAAATTATGCAGGTTTAACAAAGACTAAGGTACAGAATATTATTAGAAAAGCATTCTTTGCACTGTATAGCTTAGTCAACTGACACTATACGAATCAGTGCAAGTGTTGAGCAACAAATATCGATTTAGTTACAAAATAAAGAATATTATAATTGATTTTGATTTTTTTCTTTTGTATGCTGCATGCTTTTTCCCTCAGCTCGGGCAGACATATTCCATCTATAGTCCAAAAAACAACTTTTCAGTCCATTTCCATCACATCATCGAGGAGGGACTGTATAAAAGAAGACGTACAAAGAAGCCCTAATGAACCAGAATCATCACCAACTGCAACTTTTCCCAGCTCTCCCTCAATCACCAAGTCCCCTGTAAGCCCACCTCCTCAGCCATCCATACTGGCCACACTGCTGGCCCGCAAGAAGTCTACAGTGACTGTCCCAGCCGCTAAGGAGGTCAGCCCACCACAAAGAGGCACCAACCGACCATCTCCTGACCACCTCCTATATACTCCCCACTTACCCTTTCACCTCTTTTCTTACGACCTCGATGAAGAGCCATCACCGGGCAAACCTAAACAAGATTCACCCAAAACTACACCTCCCAGGTCAGATGGACTCCCTGAACTCCTTCTCTCAAAAGGGTTCCTCGCTTTAACATCACTGTTTTCTTTTTGATCCACTTTTTCTCTTTACGCACCATGTTGGATTCATTTACACTGCTTTCTAAAGTTTCACTGTTTCTTTTACTTTTTCGTTTTCACTTTTATCTTGAGTGCTCTTTCCTTTCACTTTAAAGCACACTTTTTTTTCTCCCATGTGCAGTATTCTGTGCCTTTAGAATCTACATGTACCAGTAACAGAACTTTCATTCTTTACAACTCTTACATCCTTTTTTCTTAGCTCTGCAAAAGCAATTCTACTATTTCTGTAAAGCTATGAACATTTAACTGCTTTCATTTTGTTCCTTTTAATGCCATTAGAGCGTCTTGATCTGTGGCAATGTTATATTTGAGAAAATGTTATGAATACTTTGTTGGGTTTTCAACTCATCACTTCAAGTAGAAACATATAACATAATAACATATAAAGATAACATACTTTGCTCTCCACTGGCCGCTGTTAAAAAAAAGAGCTTATTTTCATGTTCACAGTGTTTGATAACACATTTACCAGGAAATGTCTACCAACATTTAGAAATAAACACCCCTCCTGTTGCTAATTAGGGTGACTCTTGTGTTACACCAACAACATTCCTCTTACATAACAAGGTGTATTACTGACCACCTCGCCAAAGCACCGTCCTTTAAGTCAGTGGTCACTCACTGTCATCTCTTTCTCTTTTTTCCAGGAATAATAGTTTTATGTCTTACCCCTCTGCAAGCACCCCACCTACACCCACAAGGTCAGTCAAAGCAACAAAGTCAATAAACTATATACAAAATAAATACATTATTTTATATGTTCACCGAAATCAGCTACAATCATGCAATCGACACACAGGTTTGAAGTGCAGACCCTCAGCCTAAATGTGTCCTCCTGTTTCCCAGATAGGAGGAATGGTTCTGAAATTACAGCTCTTTAATATTAGCTTCTGTTTCAGGGGGTCAAAAGTGGGATATTGGGGGAAAAAAAGCTCAAGAAATCTGTCAAACACCTTCTTAGCAGGCCTGACTCTGAAGGCCTGACACAGCACTACTAAGAAGGAAACACTTTCTGGGTGATTTCAATGAGTTCCAGCATTTGCCATTGCCTGCAAATGATTTTCCACAAAGTATTAAAATCATATACATTTAAAACTGTTTCTTAAATGTTGCTTAAATTTGGTTATGAGAGCTCTATCCAAATAGTTGTGGGACCTAACCCTGTATATTTAAGGTAGAGGAATTCATTTTGACACAACAAAAAAGGAACAAGTTGTGATGCATGGGAATGACACTTATTACTAATTTAATATTGTGTAATTTGAGACAGTTTGTTTGTATTTCGTAAAGGCCAGCATTGGGGGGCCTGCTGTCATCATCGTACCGTCAGCATCAGGAGTCTCTAGCGGCGGAGAGAGAGAGACGGCGGGTAGAGAGAGAGGAGCGTTTGCAGAGGATCGAGCGAGAGGAGAGGAACAAGCACAGGTGACTTGTATTAATAGCTTCATGGTGCAATAAATTTCACAAAGGCCAACACACAAGTATGCGCCCTAATGTCCAGAGTATTGCACAACATGTGTCATTCTGTCAAGTCAATAAAAACATTCTTTATTTATATTAGGATCTGATTATTGTTTTAAGAATCTGTCTGTTTTTGTGTTTTGTACAGCCGCGACTATGTGGATAAAATGGAAGAGGCCCGGCTTGCACGAGAAGAGAGGTGAGTGTGTGTGAACAAAATCAAAATAACACATGCATTTATATCCAGGGGGAGCACATTTCACTGCCAGGTTTAGGAACCAGTGTAATAGGCTAATTGTTTTCAGGTTAAAAAGGGTCCCACTGCTGCCAGACTGAGAGGAACCCACTATATTTGTTCTCTTCTGAGCTCGCCTCTCCAAGAATCTGCCAAAGCCTTGTTTATATTCAGGGTCTAAATCAGAATTGGTCAGGCTTTTTACACTCAATTCATGTGCAAATAGATCCAAGCAGTACAGTTTTGCATGGGAAAATACTTCTTTTATTTCCTATACATTTAACAAACATCGTTTCTTATTTCTTTTTCTAAGGTGGACTATATAACTTTTCTCGTGTAGGATCAACCATTTGCTTTTCTCCATGGAGATGTATATTTTCTTTGAGTGTTCCACAGTATTATTTAAATCCTGCATTAATTTTTTAAAATGAACTTCTAAATTATATTCTTACTGTAAGCAGGGTTGATTCACCACAGATCTGTAACTTTGCATGATGCTGTCATCTACTTGTCTCCACAGAGATAGGTATATATTAAATGCCATTATGTCATTTTATGCACAAGAAAAAGTTACATTTTTAAACATATAAATATTCTAACAAGTTAAAATAATTCAGTGTTTATTAAAATTACCCCAAGGAAATTCACATCTACTTTTAGGTATACAATAGCCAATGAGGTCATAGAAATGCTATTTACAAAAACATTATGTGTACACCTATATTATATTACGTCTTTTTATAGGACACATTGGCTTTAATTTATATAGAATGACTATAAAATCAACACAATGCCCCCAAACCAAACTCGTATAAGCAGAGAGTATCCAATTTCTTGGGTCTCTGAAGTGGTCTAGTGCTAATGACCTCGAAACAGAAGCACTACACATTTAGGTTTGGATGAGAACGAGGAGGGGTTTAAGAAAATACAGCCAGAGGGTCGAGTTAGTGCTTACAATCCTGGCAAAGTTCAATGTAGGCAGCTTAAATGCAATTGGTGTATCAAGAGAGACGGGACAGCAGAAGAGGATAGACGAGAAAGAACAAGTAAGGAGGAACTAGCATGGAAGCATCTTAAGCGGTTTTTCCTTTCAGCTCAAACTTCATACACAGAGGCAGTATTTTTTTTTCTGCATCACTAAAAAATTTAAATAGTCTTTGTTTTGTTTTTTCGCAAGACCAATTTTTTGTTATTTTGTTCAAACTCAGGTACAAAACGTGGAGCGGCTTGCAGCTGAGGAGTTTGAGAGGGAGCATGTTAAGCCATCGAGAACTCGTCCTAATTTTGACCTGACCTTTGAACCTTCGGAGGCCTGGCCTGCATCATCACGCAGCAGCACCCCATCCTCCTTCACCTCCCAGGATGATGGAGACGCAGACAACGAGACAGAAGCACCCACCCCCTACACACCCCTTGAAGACACCGGTAGGATGCTCACACCACTACTGCCATATTTCTTTCTGCTATCATAATGTTCTTGATGATTATTACTACGCACAGCATGGTTTTCAATCCATGGCAATGATCTTCCGTTGTCATAGCAAGTAAGCAGTTTAAGTCAAACTATTATATGTTTTGAATGGAAAGTCCTCACAAAATCATTAAAATCAGAAAGGAATCATTAGCCTGAAATGTATGAATAAATAATCAAGTTTACAGAAAGTTTTACCATCTATGTACTCAGCTGTCCCAATTTGTGGGTTTTGTTTCTTTGTTTCTATAATACAGAAAGTATATCAACTCATGTCATACAAGATTTGTAATCAAGAACCTTTCAATTTTGTAGCTTGAAAAACAGTCAACTTCAAATTAAAACATGAGGTCATAAGATATTCGGCAATAGGAAAATAAAATTGTTAAAAAATATAAATGGGCGGGCCCCTCTGTAGACCTCTCCACCAATCGTCGATGTGGGTGAAAGGGTCAAGTGTATTTGAAAGAGCTTTTAAGAAGCAATGCCAAACAACTTGCATAAGTAAACAGCCTTGTGTTGGAGCTGAGTGCATGCGGAGCCCTGAGCTGAGGTACTGCAGCTCAAACAGGCCAGTGTGCAGGGGCCACAGTGTCATGTTATTTTAACCTCGCCTGCATCACTACACAGACTGTACTGCACTCACCTGTGTGTACCGTGTACCCCTGTGTGTTTTCACATAAACAGGAACTTAATTCTTCATTTCCTGTTCATTTCCTGCTAGTGACAACCCACCTTTCTATGTCTGTAGCATTGTTGATTTTAGTGTGTGTTTTTGTTTTTCGTCGTGTGTGAGTGTTGATAAGACATGAACGTACACTGACCTTGCGCAAGTGACATATCTGTATGTGCTGGTGGTGCCGCAACTAGCAGGTTTCGACTCTCGGCGTCACAGGGTCTTTTTGTATGGAATTTGCATGTTCTCCCCATGTCTTCATAAGGGCCACAGAACCCCTGAAAAGGAGATTCCAAAAATCAGGGTGACTATCCTGGTTAATTAAGTATCTATCCATCTACATCTCTTGGTTTTTACTTGTTCACTGTTTTCTGTTGTGTATTTAGTATATCATACCTGTAGTTGTATTTAAATAAATCCTGTCTGTGTTTAAGGTGAGGCCGATGACTCCAGCGCCAGTGTAGAAGCAGAGGAAAAGGAAGTCGAAGCCCCAGCTGAAGAAGAAGAGGAGCAGAAAGGAGAGGAGGAGGAGGACATACAGGAGGAGGAAGAGGAGCAGGTCGACGTGCAGCTAGAACCTGAACAAGAAGAAGAAGAGCAGGAAGAGGCCGTAGAAGAAGAGAAGGAGGAAGAAGAAGCAGCGAAAGAGGAGTGTGAGCCTGAGCCGCAGCCAGAAACACAGATCCCAGAGGAGGACACCGGGATCCTTAGTGACAAAGAGCGACAAAATGAAGAAGTGAACGAGAAAGACAACTGCTCTGCATCTAGCATCTCCTCTGCCAGCAGCACTTTGGAGAGAGAGGAGCGGGCCAGCAATGACGATGGTTGGTGTTGTGAAAAAATCATGTATTTTATGGTCCCTTGCCATTCTGTATATTAAATTTTTTTTCTCTTTTAGGCTTTAAAGAGCCAGAAGTAAAGGAGCCTTGCACCAAACTTCTCGACAGCAAACTCTTCATGCTGGATATGCTTTACTCTCACAACAAAAAGCCCAGTGATGAAGATGAGGAAGACGAGTTGGGACGAGAAAAGGGAGAAGAGGAGGATAAGGATAACCATGGGGACATGGACAGTCAGATAGAAGAGACTCAGGAAAGTGACAACAGACTAGAACAGTCTGAGCGTGGCAGCATTCGGCAATTTGCAGAGCGTTTCGGGGACTTGGTAAAGGACTTGGGTTCACCTCACGTGCTACGAGAGACAATGAATGAGCCACCTCCCCCTCCTCCACCCCCACCCAAAAAGGAATCAGACACTATATGGGACCAACTGCTGGCCAGCCCCCGAGAGCTGCGCATCGGCGACATCAACTTCACCGATCTCACGGAGGATGATGATAAGAATGTTCTGGACGCTGCGTTGATGGGAGGCTGTGGGGAAATGCCCCCACCACCTCCTCCTCCACCCTTCATTCCACGCTTCCCTCCACCTCCGCCCATACTGGGCTGTGGTCCGCCACCCCCTCCTCTGCTGGGGATCATGAGGCCTCCTCCTCCTCCCATTTTCAATGCCCCAGCTGCACTAGCTCCAGAACAACCTCTTTTCAACAAGAAGAAGAAAACCATCAGACTTTTCTGGAGTGAGGTGAGCAGCACATACACCGTAAATTGCTAGATGCATTGTTACTTGATATGCAGTGTTTAATTGGAATCTACAAATAATAATCGTTAACTATTTTAATAATTGTGTTCATCTGGACTATATAGACTCCAAATCATTGGCCAAAATATGCTCTATAACAAAGACAAACAAAAAATCATAACAAATCTAATGGATTACATTTTATTTATTTAGAAGTCTCCAGCATATTTCAGCCTATTAAATTTCAATGTACAGTATAATTAATCATTAATGATGATAATGGACTAATAAAAAATTATGATATATATAAACCTAATCCAGTTCATTACTGTTCTGTTCAGGTGCATCCGAATGAGTCTCACTGTAGTCACAAATGGAGAGGGGACTCCTTTTGGTCCAAGCTGGAGAATGTAAAAGTGGACACCAGTAAATTGGAACATCTATTTGAGTCCAAGTCTAAGGAAATGGCAGTAACAAAAGTAAGTTACTGCAAAAACAATTTATGCTTTGCTCAGAACAAAATGGCAATACATTTTATGTGTATTTGTCTTATAGAAAACTGCAGCTGATGGAAAACGAACAGAAATAATTGTACTGGACTCAAAAAGAAGTAACGCCATCAACATTGGCCTCACAGTTTTGCCCCCACCTCGCACAATCAAAACAGCCATACTTAACTTTGATGAATATGCACTTAACAAAGAAGGCATAGAGGTGAGTGAAACCCCAACTTGTTATTTGTTATATAATAGTTCCCTTCATTAATCCTTGCTTACTCTTGGCAGAAAATCCTAACGATGATCCCCACTGAGGAGGAGAAGCAGAGGATCCAGGAGGCCCAGCTGGCAAATCCGGATCTGCCTTTGGGTTCAGCTGAGCAGTTCCTGCTCACCTTGTCTTCTATCAGTGAACTCTCTGCCCGACTCCAGCTCTGGGCCTTTAAAATGGACTACGAAGCAACAGAGAAGGTTTGTGAAAACTCCCAGACATTTAGAATACACTATAAATTCTCAATATTTAAGGGTGCCCTATGTAACTTTTCTGAAGGACGGTACACTGCTTGTAACTACGGAGATAATGCTTTGGCTTAGCATTTAACTTTTTTTCATTTTACATTTATTTAATTCAGGTGTTTGTATTGCTCGTTCAGATCTGACTTGTTGTATCACTTGCTTATTTCCATAGAGATAAATACATGTAATGCCATAAGATGGAACATTCAAGGCAAAGAAAGTATATCTCCTGGGAGACATGCAGGTGGCAAACCCTTCTCCAGAAAAGTTACTTATTGCACCTTCAAAGTTTTACCAAGACATTTTGCTTGTAAACATAATGATGGTGTACTAAAATGTCCTTTCAAACAAGTGTTCCATGCAAAGTTAAACCACAGCTGGACATTAAAACCACCTGTTACGTAGCATGTAATGTAACACATATGCAGAGCATGTGTGCATTTGTGTGAGGTGTGTAATGTCCATGCATCAACATCGCCGCACAGAAAACAAACAAAACATCTTCATGGTTACCTCATAACATCATAACTTTATGTGTCTGCTTGTTCACATCACCTCTTTTCTGGTACCACATTTTGTACTGCATGCATGAGGGTACAAGTTCAAAGTCAGAACAAGGGAAAAAAAACATTTACCACCTGTTCATCTGTTGTAACCATGTACATTTTATAGTTTTCTTCAGGAAGTAATTGTCTTTAATCCTATCACTTAAAATAGTTGTGGTTTTAGATGCTTTATTGCACGGAAATTATTATAATCTAAAGATCAAAATAAGAAAGGTTATTGCCATCAATGAATCAAATGGAATCACTACTATCTACGAATGGTGCCCAAAGTACTCATGGTGTTGCCACATAATAATTTGTATTGAAGGGAAATGTGCACCTGCTCCGAATCACTGCCGGCTGAGTCATGAGTTGGGCGTGTGTATAGACTAGGTTAATGAGGGGTGTGCATTTCTTTATCCCAGGAAGTAGCTGAACCGCTACAGGATCTAAAAGAAGGAATGGAACAGCTAGAGAAAAACAAAACTCTCCGGTGCATCCTCTCCACCCTGCTTTCAATCGGAAACTTCCTAAATGGGAGCAATGTAAGTCACATAAACACTTTCATTATGTCTGTAGAAATAGACCTTTGTTCCATTTATTAACAATCTGATGAACATAACCTAAGTTCCAAACAGTACATGTGGCCATTAAACACACAATGGTTTATTTTTGTGGACAGTAAAAATGACACAAGAGAAATTTGATCATCAAAAGCATGTTTCAATTAATCAATCAATTTTAGAGTAATGTTGTATTTTGAAAACAAAGTACATTTCTTGATCACAAATGGTGTATTTATGTTAATAGGCTAAAGGTTTTGAGCTGGCATACTTGGAGAAGGTACCTGAAGTAAAGGACACAGTTCACAAACAGTCGTTGCTACATCACGCCTGCTCCATTGTGGTGGAGAACTTCCCTCAAAGTACAGATCTCTACTCTGAGATTGGCGCCATCACAAGGACAGCAAAAGTACTACACATCAAACTCTAATAACAGGTCTATTTATGGTATGACTTACTTTGACATGGTTTGTGTCAGGTGGATTTTGATCAGCTGCAGGAGAATCTGTACCAAATGGAGCGACGCTGCAAAGCCTCATGGGATCATCTGAAGGTGATAGCTAAACATGAAATGAAGCCTCAGCTCAAGCAAAAGATGTCTGACTTCCTAAAAGACTGTGCAGAGAGAATAATTATCCTCAAGATAGTTCATCGCAGAATCATCAACAGGTATGGCATTAAACTTATTTATCTCCATGGCAAAAGCAAGTGACGCAACCATGCTAAGTTACAGGTCAGAATCATAGAGAGATTATCCACAGTACGAACACAAACACACACACACTGGTTCGCCATCACCAGCCTCTCAGTCTGTATTTGGAAGTCCCACAGGATCTTGGCTCACTCATTCTCCACAACCTCTGTAGGTGTTTCCCACCTTGAATCATCCCTTATGGAGGGAAAATTCAAGCAATGTTTTAAAGTAATTTTATTTTGCGATAAATACAACTGTAGATAGATAAGTCATACTGTGGAACATTCCAGTCAGAGCAATTACATCTCCATGATAACATGCAGTTGGCAGACCCACCAGAAAAGTTACATAGTGCACCTTTAAGTATTTCCTATTCTTTCATTGTTATCTGTTTTGGTGATTTTTTTTTCCATTTCTTTAGGTTCCATTCATTCCTGCTGTACCTTGGTCAGCCTGCTTACAGCGTTAGAGAAATCAGTGTTCATAGGTTTAGTAAAATATTGAGTGAGTTTGCACTAGAATATCGAACGACCAGAGAGCGTGTGTTACAACAGAAGCAGAAAAGAGCAGACCATCGCGAGCGCAACAAAACCAGAGGGAAGATGATCATGGATGTCAATGCTCCTGTGAGTGTCACACATCCCAATGTTTTAAATATGACCCCTTTTAATTTGGCTCTACCTTTTTCATTTTCACTGCAAATCCACCTGGGCCCTTCCTTACATTTCCATTTCCTTTTCCACTATTTCTTCCCTGTAGTCTGAGGATGAAGAGGAGATTGAGGTATCACCATGTGTTCTGCCCTCTTGCATGATTACCTTCTGCATGAGACACCTAACACTTTTTCATTACCTTTAAACACCATTATTCAAAGCTGAACTGGCTGCATCTTAAGCGTTTGCTGTGTCTTGTGTGAATCGTAGAATCATATCCACACAGGGGTGGGTTATCAGGATTTTTTTTTATATCATATTGCTTTTCAATTTTATTTGATTAAATTGAAAACAAATATAAATGGCTTTTTATATACATTTCCTGAACATAATCGTGACAGACCTTTAATCTTTACCACATAACTCCAAAGTCTGAACTGCTCCAAATCATGACAGAAGATTAGTTGATGACCTCTTATTTAAAAAGATCCCAGATGATAACTGACCACTAGAAATGAGGACCACTCAATTAATTTCCCAGCCCTACTTCCACATGTAATGTATTATACTGTATGTTTATAAACTGTATGTGTCTGCGTTTAGTGTGGTCGGCACAGCTCAAGCACCAGTACCAGTAACAGTGGTCCAAGCTTCAGTCAGGACAGTGAGCAGCCTCAAGGCCTGGGCCACGCTGAAGACGCTGCAGAGCATGAGCACATGAAGGCCGTCCTTAGAAACAGTCTTAGTGGAGGAGACAAGGAGGGGAGTGGAGTACCAGGACTACGGACACGCACACGCTCTCGACCAGGGCGCGGAGGTAAGAGGGACACAATACTAAAGAACATAGTGAAGATGTTTTTCACTTCCTTTCTAAAGCAATGCCTACAGATAGAACAATTATGTTTTAGTTGCATGAACATTATCTTGTTTCAGATCTTAACAGATTGCATTGTACTGTAAAAGAAATACTGATCTGTAGTGTCTTATATTGTGGTGCCTCAAAGCTAAGTACTTGAGTTCAATTCCTTGACCATAAGGGGGCTTCCTATGTGGAGTTTGCATATTCTTGTAAATTTCTTCCAGGTTCAGAAATTTGCAAATACAGATGGTAGCTCTAAAATGTAATATCATCTATGTTTTTATCTTTGCTAAATTACATCAAATGCGTATGTTTGTGGATATGCTACTGCATTTCACCAGTGCTAAATATAAGTTTGGTGAATAATATTTCATGCTTTGTTCAGGTCGTACCATGCAGGCACGGACCCCTGCCATTGAAGATGCACAGATCACAGGAGAAGATGCCGCTGACGAAATCATGGAGCGAATAGTGAGGTCTGCCACGCAAGGTCCCTCTTCACGAGCCCAGCCCAGAGAGAGGAGGAGGTCCAGGGCTAACCGCAAATCTCGTAAGACCCCTTCATCAAATACTGCATTAAAATATAAAGGCATACAGTTATGTAAAAGTGCATGTGTTCTCATTTCAGTGCGACGGACATTGAAAAGTGGTTTGACTCCAGAAGAAGCTCTAGCTTTAGGATTAGTCGATTCTCCTGAGCCACCGATTTGATCAGTTGCCCCTCATCCTACTGGGCGTTAAGGTGGATCCTTCTCTGCTGGTGTTTGCGTGCACACATCTTTGTCAGCTGCTAGTCTTCACAGACTCTTATGCGACTCTCAGTAGTGCAAATATAATTGTAATAAATGAAAAACTATTATATTCTATATTCCAAATGTCTGGAGTACAGAAATATTGAAATATTGATAAAAAACTTTTTGCTGATAAATTATATCAGTACAGTATTTATTATGCTGTTTTTATTTTAAGCTGTGAATTTGCATTACATAAATTACAGGTTATTTCAAGCTATATCAACAAATTCCAAAGTCTTTAGAATTGAGTTTTTCAAAAGAAAGTGATGGTTTTTGGCTTAAGTGCCTTTGCATCAGTATATTGTTCTTTTGCTCATCTCGATATTCTTCGTTCACCTTCCATCATGCCAGAATCTGCCCTTCTGTGTTCTCTGCTTTTGGTCAGTATATTTGTTGTCATTATGTGATGGACACCGGTTACTTGCCTAATTGTTCTCAGTATTTATTTGCAATTTGAAGATAGTCTTTTTGTATTCAAATGTGTGGATAATTGCACCTTACTCTCATTCTTGACTTACACACAATGAAAGGTAGAATGAACTCAAAGACAAAATGTTTTACATAAATTGTAAAGTGTAAAAAGTTTAAGACTTCAACTGCTTGAAGTGTAAAGTTTGAAGGACAACCAGAGATCTGCAACATTGTGTAAATGTGCGCGATAGCTGCGAATATCTGTATCACACAGCATGTTTAGAGTGTTCTGGTTGTGTATTATTTTTTTGTAATTTCTGTAGAAATTTGTATTATAGCCTGGTGGTCACGCTATTCTGTGAATTGTATTTAAAATGAAATACATTTGCTTAAATTAGAGTTTTTAATATTTTTGCTCCAAGGACACGGCTGGATTTGTACTGAACATAGTGGTCACTTTATACTTTGTATTGACTTGAACAGATTTTGGGACATTTTGGATCACGTCATACAGAGCAGTGTGCTCAACGTGCAGCCTGTTGCATACACTCGCAGTGTATACACTTTCTGCAATAAAAACTAAATATAAAATACTTGGGTATTTTCGTTTTTTTACTTAAATATGAACATTTCAATTTCTGACTGTATTGTTCACACGAGTGGGAATGGCGGCAAAGAGATCAATAAAAAGCAATTAAAAACAACTACTGACTTTTGTTGGAACCAGGTCGACTTAAGTTGTAGTACAGTCTGCTACTACTCTACTGCTTTTAGAAAGTGCTTATTTTGTTCATGGCCAAAAGAATGAGACTTCTGTGTGTGTCCGGCTCTGCCACCTGCTGGACGCCAATGAACGCTATGGAGGAGAAGAGGCTGCAGTGCTACAGTTACAAGCTGCTTCTGAGAAAGGAGAGAGTCGTGAGGTGCACAAGATTAACCCGAGTGCCTTTTTAAACCACAAAGTGTTTCACAAATGTTCTGTTCAGCTGCGAATTATTCGGTCGTTTTTGTGTTTTAGCCCCCAATGTAGACTATATATTTATACTGTGAATGAATCAGGCACTGCATATAGTATAACCCGAGTTACCTTCATAATTCTGGAAACCATGCCCGAAACAGGCCAAATTATTAAAGACAGTTGCACTTCACTGGCGTTTTACCCTTTAAGGAATTAAAATATGGTTGTTTTGAAAAATAAATTTAAGATATTTATTAACAAATAATAAATAAAGTATAAAATATAGCGCTGCTGTGCCATTTGACATGACACTTCGTCCTCTGGTGTTTGGAAAATGAAATAATTATTGGCTTATTGTAGTTCCTTGTCCGCTAGAGGGCGACAACGCTTTCTGGAAGTATTTATCAGCTCACCACCAGATGAAGAAGCAGACCGTGAGCTAGCTGTAGTCCGCTAGATCATCTGACTTACTCTACAAGTGCAGACCTGTTGTTTCGACTTCACTGTCTGTAAAACCGTGCAAAACCGGTGCAAAAGTAAAACCATGGCTAAAGACATTACTCTGTACTGGGGATCCGGCTCTGCTCCCTGCTGGAGGATCATGATCGCTCTGGAGGAGAAGGGTTTGCAGGGCTACAACCAAAAACTGCTCTCCTTTGATAAGATGGAGCACAAGTCTCAAGAGGTTTTGAACCTGAATCCTAGAGGACAGGTAGGTTCACCGGCATATAGGTTAAAGAGGTTAACCTAGTGTTTAAAAAGAATTACTGTACGGCCTGTTATGCATTAAGATTGAAGAGTGCCCTTTGGAAAATGACAATGCTCTCCTTCATATCGATAACTAAGCAAGAAGGCATTATCTATTTTATTGCAGTGTAATAATTGAGACCATGTAGTAATCATCCCGTAACAATGGCAAAACACTTCTATTTTGGAGAGTTGACTTTTGGCTTGAAATTGTTTTTATGTTATTTGCACCCATTTTGTTCGTTATTCTTTAAGTTAAAATATCCAAATGTTAAATTGAATGGTTTATACTTAATTTCAGCAAAAGCCTGGTGAGTAGCTTGAATATTTTATCACTGCACGTTGTTTTCCCTAGCTTCCAACTTTCAAACATGGGGACAATATTGTGAACGAATCATATGCAGCTTGCTTTTACCTTGAGGTAAGAGGTAACCTTGTAATAATCTTTGTGTTGTTAATTACTATGCACTACTGATGTAATGTTTTGTTATTGCAGGATCAGTTCAAGTCCCAGGGGAATAAGCTGGTCCCAGACACCTCTGCTGACTTGGCTCTAATGTACCAGCGCATGTTTGAGGGTCTAAACCTTAATGACAAAATCAGTAAGACTTGCTATTATGCCATAGCCAAATGCTGCTATATAATGAGAATTCTTTGTTTCTAAGCGAGATAAATCTTTGTTATCCAGATGTTATTAAAAAGTAACCAACACTGCCCCCTTCTGTTAGTTCATAAGATCGGCCAATATCTGTGACGCACATGTATTTAACCAGTGTCTAACAACCAATTGGATCACTAATATAGGGGCACTCATAACATGCAAAACATATTTTGTGTACAGTGAACTCTCCGTGGACACAGGCCTACATTTGTGCATTTTTTTCCCAGATGCGGTGATATATTATGAGTATTATGTTCCTGAAGCAGAGAGGCTCGATTCTGTGCTGAGGAAACGCAAAGATGAACTGGCCACTGAACTTAAGCTGTGGGAGGGGTATTTGGAGAAGGTTCGTGTTGATCTCCAAACATAAAATGCATGCCTCACATCTGTTGATCTGTTTACACCTGTGTTTTTGGTTTTGTTTCAGTTGGGCTCAGGTTCTTTTCTGGCTGGTCAGCAGTTTTCTCTGGCCGATGTGACTGTCTTCCCAGCTGTGGCTAACCTCATTAGATATGGGTAAATATAAGCATTTTTGATCATTATATATTGGCTACTTAAAATTAAAATGCTTTTTTTTTTTTTGGCTTGACTTTTTAGGTTATTGGCCGATCGTTATCCCAAACTGGCACAGTACCATGCTCTGCTAAAGGACCGACCCAGCATTAAAGCCAGCTGGCCCCCACACTGGCTGGAGAACCCAAAAGGGCAGGACACACTCAAAGACGTCTAGAAGTCAAGAGGAAGGAAACAAGCATCTCTAGTAGAAAGAATTTGGTCATATGAACATCACGTAATTTTACAATACAATAATAATGTACTCTAAACTACTAAACAAGGCTTTACCATTTAATTTAGAGTTTAGACTTTAAGCATTTGCACTATTGATATTATTGCACTAGTATAGAAGAAGGCGGCCCTTCTATATGCCTTAAAATGTTTCAAGTTCACCACTTCAAATGCACTTATGTATGGCCTTGTAGCTTATCATTTCATTGTACAGAAATACAGCCAAGCTTTGGAAAATATATCCTTCAATTTTTCTTGTTTTATTTCACTTTTTCTAAAACTAAACTAAAACATTTTTAAATGTAATTGCAACATGAATTCAGTTTTAGTAAAGGACACTAAGACATATATTTATTATTGTGCAACTCATTACAGTACAAGTAGAAAGTACAGTGAACCAAGGTTCAAAGGTAATAGGAAAACTTTCCAGTCTATGACATAGCAGCATATTATGGCACTCCTTGGAGTATAATGATTACTAGTAATTTCCTCATTCAACTAGACAGTCAAATGAAAGTGGTTCTAACAAGAATTGCGTGATTGTATTTTTAAGTTTAAGGTACATTTACATTGTGTCCTTCTAATATCTAACGTCAATACCAAGGTTGTTCCTTAAAGCTAGTACAGGCACATTACGCATTCACATTGCACAGCATCAGCCTTCGGCACCCCATTGAGTAGCAGAGGTCATTCCTGCACCACTCTGGCTGTACAAGTCTTCTGCTTAAAGCACTCCAAATGTGATTGGCTGGATCTCAGGTGGCATAAAGGTAGTAGAGTTAGCACAGGCACATTCACTGATTTAGTGGCCAGCTCCAACAGTGGTTTTCTGAACAGCAAGAGCAGTATGTAGTTCAATGCTGTTTTTTAAGGCAACAAATGATTTTGGACAAAAAGTCTGATCCCTGAGAGCTGGGTGAGGTCAGGGCTATGTGCTGTCCCACGCAAGTCTTTAGTCCGCCGGGTGCTCTGGACATGAGCGATTCACCTCAAACCATTCATCTATGCATCTGTGATGAAAGCAAAACTCAGACATGTGTAAACATTGTAACTTTAAGACTGTCAATTTACCCTTTATGGTAGATGCAGAGACAGGGCAGCCGAGCGATTGTGTCCCCCTGCTCCATTTCATCTAAACATATGGCACACTCCCCCGAGTCTCTGGATAGTATGTCCTCTGCCAAACATAAAGCAATTTAAATGTAACATGATAGTAACCAGAAAGTAAACAATCTAATGTATTCATTACGAAAGAACTATCCTATACATGCACTGTGTTCCAATGGTGATGTAGTAGTATGGGTTCAGTAAATGCAGGCTTATGTTATAGATATAGGTACAGTAGGCAATGTGCAGTATCACTCTACTTTTCATTACATTTTCTTCAGCTGTTCACACCCTCTGCACTGTAACGGTGTCATCTAGATGTGAGGCATATAATAAGTATTCTTAGTAGTTATAACCATTAATCTGTAAACATACACTATGCAGTTATTACAGAGTGATTTATTATGTCGAGTCTATGTACCATTTTATACAACTATTATTTTTGTCACTTCTTAGTGATAGTACTGCTGCTATAGAATCCAATTCAGTACTATAACTTTAATATCCCTAAATGAAAGTTGTGAAATGTTATCATCTTTCATAATATAGACAATAACATCTCCACCCAGTTCTTCCTTACTGTTGTAGGTGAGGCGAGTTTTGCTGAAGCACATGAGCAGATGCTTCTCTATCTCATCTGTGGCCATAAACTTGGAGCACACAGGGCAGTGGAAGCCTGGAGGAAGCAAACAAAGGAAGAAATAAGCTCTCAGATGCCCTAACAATACCCATAATACGTTTATTGCTATAAGCACAGAGCAGTTGTGGGACACTAAGCTGGTGCCTGACCTTATGCAGGCCTAGTCTGACCCGAAATCTTATTGTTTTAACTATCTTTATGTAGGAGTCTGTTGCAATCTTTATAATCAGTTAGCATTGTTAATTGTTGTAATGCCAGCTCAGCTAATTCAAATGAATTGGCTTTTTACATGATTCAAATGTCAGGACTTTGTTTTTACTCTGCATTTCACCACAACAAACGTACTGCCAGCTATTGTGCATTTATTGGTACAAAGATATGACAGGTTTTTCACCAGAAGCTTTTCACAGTACTTGCTATTTCTGTTTATTCAGGCTTGGGTTTGACTCAGTAATATTGTAATATTGCACTCAGTAGTAGTAGTTCTTTTGGATAAAGTTATTTAACAACAGTAAAATTGTACTGTTTATGGTCTGAAAATCTGGCTTTATGCTTTTTACTGGCTTTTTACTAAAAATCTTATTTTTTCCAGTACCATGATTCCAGATGATTATTTTTGAGAATCTATTTTAAAAAGCTACAAAAATTTGAGCATTGGAGAAGTAGTTTAAAGTCGAAGCAAAAGTGTTTGTTTTCTAGGCCTTGAGGCCTTGCAGCAACACGTCTCACATGCTTTTTGGAGTGTAATAAGAAGAGGAACCCTGAGGTAGCCTACTGCAAGCCTGTTAGTTTTGCTCAAGAGATGCAAAACAGAGGAAAAACAGCACAGCTACAGTTTGAAATGTTTCTTCTAATAAATTATAGCCTCAAAATGTTCTCAATCAATGCTTGTGTCATAAAATCATCATATTAAAGTTTCCAGGACTATCAGTGTCAGTTAATGATATGCTTTTATGTTTTTGTGTGCTCTATACACAGACTAAGGTACTAACGCAAGGCTAGAAGGCAATTAATTACAAAACAGTCTGTTTTAACTCTGTAGTTAAAATTTCTACAAACAATTGCACAATACTGATTTAATGAATATCATAATGTTGCAATGTCACAACTTCCTTTTGTTTTGCATACAAAAGTTAAAACACTACCTAATACTACTACTACTACAAACTAAAAAGTATGTCATGTATATAATGTGTATGCCACTAATTGGCCAGGGGTTGTGAACTCAGTGATTGGTTCGTGTGATCCCGGAAATAGGCCAAGTGACACACGTTGGCCTTAGACTCTCTGTGAATCCAGAGAGCAAAGGTTGTTAATAGGGAGAATAATTTGACTTCCTCATTTGAAAATTACAATCTATTCCCGTTAGTCATTCACTTAATATATTTACTTTTCACTCTTTCATATTAGCACCTGATTGTTACAACATAAAATTGCAACATCATAAAATATGTAATTTGCCTCATGTTGAGATGCTGTCGAAATAAAAGGTCTTTGGGTCTGTCAATGCTTTTTTAATGTTTTTACTTTTGTTGATTCTTTTTTATTTTACACATATTTTGAACTTTGAGGCTATTTGCAATAGCTTGAGCTCCATGCTCCTTGCCTAGTTGATAACAAAACCAGTGTTATGAAAGAAGCCTTGGGGTCAGATGACTTGTTTTATCAAAATCTCCCAACGCTTGATTTTAAAAAGTGTGTGTGTGTGTGTGTGTGTGTGTGTGTGTGTGTGTGTGTGTGTGTGTGTGTGTGTGTGTGTGTGTGTGTGTGTGTGTGTGCGCGCGCGCGCGCGTGTGTGTGTGTGTGTGTATGTGCGCGTATGTGCGTGCGTGTGCACATGTGTGTCTATCAGGCAATGTGTAACCAGCAGGAAGCTCTTATCGGCTGACCTACATAATACACTCTTTTCTGGCAGACTAAGTGAGTGAAAAACAGGTCCGTTTTAAACCACACAACAGAAAAGACACAACTGTAACAAGTAACAGTGGGCACCACCTGTAGCTGCACACAGTAAACCACTGGACTGCTTTGTGGGAGTCGTTATTAATATTATACACTGTGTGACACACACAGAAAAATAATGAGAAATTCAGACTATTGGGTAGTCTATTTTATTGTTAGCTTCAAGACCATAAAGCATTTTAAATTGATTATTCAAAGAGAAAAAGAGTTCAATGAGAAATACGTTGTTTTTATCAATATATTGGTTGATGTTTTTCCACAACCTCATAGCCCACGGGGCCTCGTGAAACAGTTTCGTTGCGCCCTTGGGACATGATGAACATTTGATAAATATCCCGTGGCGTTATGCAGCTACAATAACACAATACACCTTCAATTATAACTTGGTCTCATAGTTTACTGCTTTAGTGCTCCATCGTTAGCCCCTCTTACCTCCCAGCAGGTGAGAGTTGAGCTGAGCCGGCAAAGAGCCAATGAACAGCCGGTGACCCTCGGGGGGGACCTCGTGGTCACCATCTGTGCCATCCACACTCTGGGTGAATACGTGAGCCCCTGTCCGGCCAGTCGGGATGCTGAGTCCAGAGCCCACAGGGCCTCCTCCTGTATACCGGATCCTAGGGCCCTCCGGGCCGTTTGTGTATCTGAAACCTGCAATTCTGTCTCCGCCGTTGGAGTTTCCAGACGGAAGATCGGAGCTGGAATAAGCCCGAGTCCTGCCATCAAACACAGGGCTGCTCGGTTTGCCCCCCATGTCGGCTCACTGTGTACTCCTTTCGTTGTTCTTGATAAGATTTACACACGATTCATGATACTGACAGCCAACGCGTTGAACAACGCCAAACAAAGGACGACGGCAAACAATGGAGCCAAGAAGTGTCCCAAACCTTTACAGTATCATGGTGCGCGCTGTGCGTAAAGTGCGCTTTCACGGCCGCATAATAACCAAATTGTGTTTTTTTTCCTTAAACCAACTCTTCTTTACCGTACGCACAGGCAGCCCATTATGAAGCTTTTGTCGAAGGCCTTGCTGAAAAATATAAGCACACTTGTCGACCCCAGGCTCGTCTGGTTCAAGTTTGTTTTTGTGGACAACTGCGTGTGCCTTAGAAGAAAAATATAAGCAAGGGCTGCTCTCCTCCCCCAGCAAGTTCCATATGACACAATAAGGCAACAGGAAATTTTCCCTTCAGAGTAAAACTCACCTATATACACACACAGTTAAGACAAATTTGAGAACCCACACTCGGTGTAGCCGAGCATAACTGTATAAATACGCTACGTAAGAGCAGTGGACAGTCTGTATATAATTGTAAGCTCAGTAGCCTATAGCCGCTTTATCGTGAATGAATTCATTGGCTTATGTGACTTTGTTATGGAGACGGTCGCAAGAGGCAGCGCTTTTATTTTGAATTCGAATTTACAGGTTATTTATTTGAGCTTCACGTGTCTCTTTGTGGATACGTCAGGTGGGATGTGACGTACAGAGCAGCAGCACCGCCAGAGGGCTGTTGTGCGCGCTAGTGTTTTAAGTGCACGGGGTGATACACGAGAAGCCGTCCATGTTTTGCTCGGCGGGTTTCATCAACTTTAGTTTACAAAGATGCACAACAAGATGACTTTGAAACATTCGTATGACACGTTTATTGAACAACCTCACACGCACACGTCTATAATGACAAACAAAAGATTCACTGCAGTAGGAACACTTAATAAATAAGATTATAAAGACAAAACATTTACAAGCGGGGGCAACAGGCCAAACAAAAGTGCTAAAAACAGTCTTAAACGTTTAGGGCGGAGTGTTTAAAAAGGAATCCAAGCTTTGCAGTGCATAAGTGATTTACAATAATGCATTGTGACAATAGAGAGGGCTCATGACATGTTTTTCAGGACACTATAAAGGTCTACCAAACAGCCCGTGTTTTAGTATTGGAGAGCGTTGACAACACAAGGTTGGATTTTAGTTGGGCCAATTTCAGGGAATCCAGCCAAACAGAGCTTTAAAGAAAAAAATAGGGCAAAGAGTGAACCACCAACCAGGAAGACTACAGTACAATAGCGCCGAGGTGTCATGTGACAGAATGAGACACCCAAACTGGGAAGCACTTCAGCTGCTGCAGCGTGGGCCTTCTTGTTGTCATATAATAGTCACTGCCTAAAACATCCTCTTATCAAGATAATTTAATTTAATTTGAAACATTAAGAGGCACACTATACTCTAGAAATGACCCATTCTACTGTTGAGCTGCACACAATAGGAGCATATGTGTTATAACTGGGGCAGACCAGTTGCCAACAACCACCTGGGATTACATCACAACAAAACCCCCCTTTTGCTTGTTCCCTAAACAGAAAATGTTATCATCTAGCTTGGGTGTTACTGCAGTTGAAGCCTCCAACCGTCACCTTTTCACCCATCTTCCCTCAATGTAGCCTCTGAGTCAACAGACAACCACAGAAACTAGGCTATCTCCCACACTGATCTCAAAATCCACACAGGAAAGTGCGTATTGCTGTAACCATCTGACTGCCGTTCTTCATAACAAAGCCAGCTGATGTAATATTGCTCTGCCGTTTAACTTTAACTACCCAGAAGGTGAATGATTATGATAAAGTTGCATTGTACATGGTTGCCGCTCACGTAGCCCACCTATGTGTGTGTTTGTCTAAAAAGGGGTCAACACAGAGCAACAAAGTGCGCCCATCAGAGGAAGCAAAGCAGCACAGAACATTCAAGGGAGATATATTTAAGTGTGTGTGTCTGTGTAAGATTGTTGAATGGTAAGAATTGGGCCGATGAGCAGCTTTCTAGAGCGCGCCCTCCATTTGGAACCCCCTCACTGCTGACTGACTCCCATCTGCTGGTGGTCGGGCCCTGGTTCACCCTCCATGTCAGCATGGTAGTGCTCAAAACTGTCGTCATCTATGTCTGGGAGACCTAAGAGCTGGTGGAGACATAGAAAATAAGTTAGTGTTATCAAATAATAATTTACTGCCCAGGATAATATTTAACATGGGTTCAGAAAATCGTATTAAGTAATCTGTTTTTTGTTTGTTTGTCTTTTTGTCTTAACCCTCAGTACCAATTTTGCTCCCATTGTTTTTTCTGTCCTATCATATTAGTCCGTCGAGTATGTGTTAAAAGTTATGGCTGTGCAGATGAAAATTTTCACTTTATACTCGATAATTAACCTTTGTTATCTCTTTACTGTTTTTTTATTTTTGCATAATTATTTTATTTGGAAGAGAAATTAACAGTATTTGAGTGCCTTTTCCACATTATAATAAATAGGTTAAACATTAATCAGCTACCAGTACCCCAGTATACACACAAGTCTATAGCAAATGCCTAACTGATTATATTGGATCAGAGCATCCTGCAGCCCCTGCCTAGGAGGACATTGTGTATCTGTGATGACATGATACTAGACATATAGCAGAGGTCACCGTTATGTTTCTGGTTTAATCACCTAATTTGAGTGTGTGAGAATGGCTGATATTTTGTCTTACTTACAGGCCTAAATGACATGAAGACCTTCTCCAGCACCTCAGGCAGGGTCTTCTTCCCACAGGATGAGATGTAGTCCTGCGCCATCTGCAGGAAGGGCAGACAGTCCTCGCTCTCACTCCACACATGCTGCAGGGAGACACGTACAAGGTAAATAGAGAATCCACTTCTAAAACGTGTTTGGACTTTCTCTATATGGATCTGTCACACATTAAAAAGATGCATTATTTTACTTTTTGATTGAGCACCCACCACCTGCTTGTCTCCATGAAGATGTAATTGTGTTTTTTGCCTGAAATATTTCACAGTTTGGTATAAAATTTCAGGTGGCACCACCAAGCCAAGTTGCAGATCTTTTTTTGGATGTATGTTTTAGAAACAAAACCTAGATGTAAAGCCATACTGTGGGAAATTCTATGCAATAACATGTCCTTGGAGTCAAGCAGATGGCAGACCCCACCAGAAAAGTTATTTACTCATTCTTACCATCATAATACCATGATATAATAATAATAATAATAATAATAATAATAATAATAATAATAATAATAATAATAATAATAATTAATATGGTAATCTAACTAAAGGATGCCAAGGCAATGAAGTTGTGCGTCAGTCTCCATATCTTGAAAATTAGGTATTAAATAAGAGGTTCTAACATAAACCCACCATATTACAGATTACTAGACATTTAGTGGCACATTTTGTAACACTGATATTCTTGAAGACCAAAGCAACATTACATTCACTTTCTGAACATAAAAAACAATATTATTTCTCTTGAGATCCATTGGATCATAAAACAGAATGTGACCTAATAGTGTGAAAGGCATTATATCTGATATTTTCCCATGGTATTTTTATGACTTGCATTCACACACTTTGTATTACCAATTTGGGAATACTGCTGAGTAATATCATAGTTGTAATGAGCCTCTTGTGTGATTGAGGCAAATAAAACCTTGAAGTGCGGTGTTATTTCCTTGATATGAGGTGTCACGCCTTGATCATATTAAACTTCCTTCTTGCATATTGCCAGTCACTTGCGGGATATTGTGAAAAAGCCTCTGTCTGAGGCACACTGCTGGACCCACTCCAGCTATGCAGTCAATAGCCCCATTCTCATATTACATTAATGCTTCTACTTGTATTTGGCAATGTATGTAATATGGTATTCTTTGCTGCATACACAAGGTTAGTAGTGCCAAAATGTGCATTCAATGTTTTTGAGCACCTGGTACAAACTTGCTTTCAGGGAGATTTTTGGAAGTCACATGAGAGCCCTGTGAATCTTGTGAATTTTTTGGGGTTTGTATTTTAATTATAACAAGAAGACAAGTGTCTATAGAGCAATACCTTTCTCCTTGAGCTGTGAAAAAAATAAATAAATAAATAAAGCATCAAACACGGAACTTGTAATCTCATATCCTTTTTTTGGCATAAATATTGTAGCTTTTGATATTAGTGGAACAGACCCAAGTGCACCCTCTTGTGGAGAAATGAGCACTGACACCTTCCTGCAGCTTTTTCTGAAAACAAAGCAAATGGAGACAAGCAGTGCAAAGGAGCAGCATGAGGCTGCTTGCTGATAGCTGTATTGATCAAATGAAAGTAACAAAATCTAATTGTGCTTAAAGGGAGACTGTCTGTTATTGAGGCTAATCAGAGATAGCACAGATGTATGGTCATGTGCAAAATACACACTGATAAGAAAATGGTGGGGAGAAACAATAGGACATGTGACTGTATGTATGTCAATATAGTTTTGAACAAAATATTGTAAATAATAGAATACAACTTGTAAGGGTAGAGCTGTCAATAATAATCTGTTTTAAATGTGTGAGTGGCAGGTCATAACAAGAAAATCGTGGGTTGTATTCCCAAACCTTGTGGGCTCTCTGTTGAGTTTGCAAGCTCTATCCATTTCTATGTGGATTACCTTGGTACACCTTGTTTTCTCCCAGTCTAAACATGCTCTGTAGTCTAATGGTTTCTATTAGACTGCAGTGTTACAATGATTTTCTTTGTATCTTCAACACGTTAATTTTGCTTTTCAAATATTAAATCAAAGGCAAATATAAGATATGATCTTTTTACAATGTTTTTGGCAAGAAAACAAATGTCATGAATAAATTTTAATATACATTTACTTTACATGATTTGTTTATTCAATTTATTGCATTTTTATATTGTTATTATTAATTACTAATTTTATTCAAAGATAATGAAGATGGCCCTTACACAGTAGCCATTGTTAAGGAATGCCTTTGCCCTGTCTGCTCATCTCATAGCGTGCCTGAACTCAGCCCTCTATATGCAGTTTTCTATGGCTCTGCAGAATGATTATGTAATTTAGCTGCCATCTCTTTGCCATGGCTCCTCGGGACACTGTTAAGCTTTGAATCTGGACATCTTGTTATTAAAAATACTACAGATTTACTTAGAACAAATGCACATAACCACATCCACATTTACAGTGTGTTGTATTCAATATAATAAGCTAATACTGTATCTCTATTGAGTTTCATATGCTCACCAGTTCACCTCCCTTTAGAAGACATGGCTCCTGTCCCATACATTTATTATTCATCCGCACTGGGGAGCGCTATTGTTGAAGGGATCCTTAACCCCCTACTGCTGCCCTCTTATATAACATTACCTCCCTGTAGACTGTGTAAGCTCAGGGTTTGATCTGGATTTCAGACTTGGACTTATTATAGAGCTGTGTTTTTCATCAGTGCCAGTGGAAAGCCCCAGATTTTGCAGTTTATTTTTTTCTCTTTATGTGTGTTGTGTTGTATGGAGCAGGGCTGGGCAGGCGCAGAGGAAAGAAGCCAGTGGTCAGTGTGTGACATAATGTGTTATTGAGTGAGCAGAGTTCTGTCCAGGGTCATGTCCATCTGCTACAGCTGCTCTGCTTCACTCTGACAGAGCCAGTGCACAAGGAGAGCACACAGGACAAACAATACAACTCTCCTGCTTAACATCCACAACTAATTTTAATTATATATTTTTTTATTAATTGTTAAAAAAAATGTATGGCTTTTCACTTTTTCAATTGTAGTTGTCAACACCACAAAAGAGTTCATTTGTAAGTATTATTATTGATTCTATGTACATCAAATGCCTCTCCCACAACAACCCACAACATATATTTTGCAAAAGGAGGAAATGTCTCTTGCCATTACACTTTATAAAAATAAAATAAAAAGATCTTCACCATATTGAAATATCTGTACTTGAATGTGTCAATTTTGAGTTATGGAAAAATACCTTCTTGTTGCTTTAAAAGTGAAAAGGTGACTGGATTCATCCTGCTAAAGCTGACTGTTGTAATGGGTGAATATATTTTATAACTGCGACTTACCATATTTAGTCATGTCAAAATAACCTACATATTGGTAAGTTGTCGGCTCTTGCCTATAAAGTAGGCAAAATGTATTTATTTTTTTTATCAAAAGGAAGATCTGATTGAGTAGTCTCAGTAAGTAAATAAAGGCCTATAGCCTAGGCTATATGAAATTTAACAGTTTTGTTACTTTAATCTTCAGTTTTAACCTAAGTGGGTTATTTTATACTCTTACCTGAGGCAACTAGCACGCTTTGCTTGTACAAACTAAGAAACTTGAAATTTGACAACAATTTGTCTGTAGCCTATAGGCTATCTGTAGACCTCTCAAGATGATAGCCTATTCTGACACTGGCCTGTTTTCCTTTATGGTGAAGGCGTGCGTCCTCTTGTAACCCGGATGGTTTGACGTTGTGGTTCAGGGACTGTACATTGGGATGTGATGGTAGATAGCCTACAGCACAGACTTCACCGCACTAAAACAAAAAATGACATCATCACCTCAGCAACAAAACAGGCCAACTACCATATCGGGACAGAGGCCACGCGTAACGCACAGCGACACACCTAGGCCAAAATACAATATAGTCAGACAGAGAGGGTGCTATGGGCCCTAACTTACGAATGTGTCGGTGCCTCCCGGACACAGCACGTAGAAGGAGACGCCAGGTTCCGCATAGAAGTCCAGCCGCCTTTCGTCGTCCTCCTCAGCGAAGATCAGGTCGAAAGGGTTGCCAGTGCACCACTTCTCCGCCGCCTCCACCAGATGCTTGAAGTCCATGCTCCGCTCCGCGCTGCGCCTGGCTCCCGCTGGGCTTGACGTCACGGCTAAGATGCTCGAGACACAAATAAAAGGCGTGTAGACCGCAGCATCAGCAACAACTTGAAGACATTGTCTGGGACGCACGTTTTATAGCCAGAAATGTTAAATAGGTCCGGCGTTCGCTATTACTGCCCCATCCCTCTGGTTCTGGCCGCGTTATGAAATCAGCCCGTCCGTCGCTCCCAACATGCACGCGCGAAAGGACGCAGCGTGGAGCTGAGCGACGCGATGACGAAGTGCGGTGCCGGGCAAACGTCCACGGGAGAGACTGCAGGAGCGCGCCAAGAGACTCACTGAGGAGAACTGAGTCATCAACCTCGTGCTCCACAGCAACCAAAACAATGGACATTTGGCTGTGGCCTATTTAAATAAGCCATTTAGAATAAAGCATAAGAAAGAATCTTTACATTAGGCCTACGGTATAGGCCACATATATAAGTGTTGTGCGGCTCATGTCAGAATCGAGGCTGTAGGCTGTAGTCTGTGGTAGAATTGTGTAATTTGAATGTATAATAGTTTATTGGAATACAGTTACTTAATTTTTTTTTCTGTGGACCTAAAATTACAATTGTCATATTAGGCAAATATAGGCTATTTGATTAAGATAGAACAAATAGACTTTAGACGTTATTATCCTTAACACTGCCATGTGAATAACACAGCGCTAGACTGAAGCTTACTGAACACGGGCTTTGCTTTCATTTTGTAACATCACCCATGTATAACTTAGCCTACTCAGTCCAGCAGAGGGCGTGTGGAACCCACTCACAACAACCCCATGCTTACGACTTACAAACTACACACTGAGAGATGTAAATTGTAACGGAATCTAATAGCTTAAACCGGAAAAGCGTTGGTCTTTGAAAATAAAACACCTAAAAATAAAAGTGAAAAACAGCTACCATACACATCTATTTATGTCACAACTTAGGACAGTATTCTTTCCGATTGCGGAAACGTGCATTTGCGTTTAATGATAGTCTAATGTGTCTTTGGCACTGTCCGTGTTTACGTAAAGTAAGGCGTCGAAGTTTTACTTTGAAGATCTTTAGAAATCCAAAGAAGCTGAGCGGTCACTTGACGGGGTGGTAGAGTTCAGTGACTCTCCAGTGTAGTCTCATTGCGGGTCAGAGCTCCCCGTAGGCTGGAGCTGTGGGCTTTTCTTCATTATTTACAAGGCAGAATGAAGAATGACAAAAGATTATGACAGTTGCCAAATATGCCCTATAATTAGGCTATTGGATCGACAAATTCTACTGAGCACTTAACAAAGAATAACAAATAAAATGGATCCTTTGCAGAATGGGGAAAACAGTGAGGAGGACGCCCAGTGCGCAGAGGAAGACGAGGTGGATCCGAGAATTCAGGTGAGATCGTTGGCTCCTGGTGATGTGGGAAGTATCTGAGCATGCAAAGTCCACCTAAACTCACGTTGGCTATTCTTATAATATATCCTGCCTAACGCATGTTTCAATGTATAAGTGCTAGCCTGACCCGTATTATAGATTATAGGAGTTTGTAGATACGTGTGGATATTGAGAAGCTCTTCGTTGTATTTGGCATATATCAAACTCTGTTGTTCTTCTTCTTCACTAACTTTTACTTGTTGTGTGTAAACAGGGAGAATTGGAGAAGTTAAACCAGTCCACGGATGACATTAATCGGTGGGAGAGTGAACTAGAGGTAAGATATTTTAATAGACCTAATATAATGCCTGTTTCTGTACAGTTTGTGTTATGATTCGTACACCGAAAATCTCTTTAGCAACAGTCATCACATGAAGTGGAAGTGGGTGTAGGCAGACTGCATAACAATGTGGAAAAATTGAAGCAGAAGACTTAATTTTAGGAAAATTCAGCAAACCCAAAGCTTAGCAGTTTGGTCTCAGCTCTGGACATTGCACAGGCCTACTTATTGTGTCCTTGAGCAAGACACTTCTCTCTTATTTTGCTAATGTGTTGTTTGAGGGATGTGTGGTGGTCTTTAACTATTCTATGTAGGGTTAGAGAATCTGTTTGTAATTAGTGTTCTAAGTCTAATGTGTATTTTTTTGTATTCAGACTCTTACTTTCTTTTGTTTATTTATTTTTCATCTCTCACAAAATTCTCTATTCTATAACCTCTTCCCCTGGCTATTGTTTCCATCTTTATCTAAAAACAATTCTAGTGGAGGGGTTTATAGCAGGGTTATGTACGATAAATGTGTGGCAATGCGGTTACTGTTCAGCAAAGCAAAACATTCCACAGGCGGCCCATGTATTTCTCCACAGTTCAGCCTCTTCTGGTTCTCATTAGGACTCTTCCCTCCGGTCCAAACCCCAGCCAAGTAAATTTTGAACCACAAACCACCAGAAAAACCTAGGAAATGTGGATCGTTTTTTTCTCCTGATCACAGGATTGTTAGTTGTTGTTGCCCACATTTCTTACTTTGATTTAGTTTGTTTCACAGCTTTTGTGAGAATGATTCATTAAAGCGTAGGATTTGCTGGTGTGCTGTGATGAGTTAACATTGTTGTACTGTATGAAGTGGAGGACACAGTCATAACTGGTTACCAAATGTTTTATATATTATGCCTACTTACACCCAATGACATTAGTCATTCATTTTTACTTTGTTTCCAAAAATAATTTCTTTCTGTTATACTAAATTTGTCTAACTTCAAGGACAAATTCTAGTAATATATATTATTAGGTTCTTTTTTTCAGACCAAGAGTTTGTTTGTTCAGTTTCGGCTGCTCATTCGCAGTCTTCGTCAGAGTGGTCACGTGATGTTTCCACGTGATGTTTCTGTGACATGTCTCAAAAAAAGAACCTAATAACATAGATTATCGGCAGACCAAATGAACCACTTTGGACAAATTCTAGTAATAGTTGTGACAGGAAGTCTTGTAAGCTTACAGTTGTTGTATAACATTTTGTATATGACTGCTATATTTCCAAGTGCAATTCCATCCAACTAATGCATATTGTTGTGTCTTTGAGCAGGACACTTCACCCCCCTTGCCAGTATTTGAATGTTGTGTTTGAATAACACAAAAGGCTATTAGCGCAGATTGGCATGTGTGAGGAGTAGCCTTTTGAACAACTATGATAAACTTATCAGTATTGTAATGTAACAACAGAATTATTGTTACTCTTTGTATGGAAGGCATTTTTGTTTAGTGCACTTATATCTGTATAAGTTATTGATTGAATACATTTGAAGTAGCATTTTTTTTTTGCTTAGTTTAGAAAACTTTAATTATCCCCCGAAGGGCAATTCTGTTTACACTCACAGTTAGCAGCATAAAAGACACTACACATACAGCTGTTCACACAGGTCACATGCTGCTTGTACAATATGGAGATCTAACCTGGGCATAAGTGCAAATGAGACATAAAGTTTCAGGAATATTTTTTTTATTCTCAGTGCATTACAAAACAATGTTGAAACAATTAAAATAAATGCAAGTATAGTGTATTCAAAACCATCAGTCATTGTGATAAAGTGAGAGACTCAAGAATGTGCAGAGTGCCCCCAGCTATAGGCTGTTTACCTGTTCACCTCTAGTCTGCAGACTAACGGACTAACATGTATATAATTTAAACTGGAGCATAACAATCATTACTTACACTTGTTTTTTGTGTCAAGGGGCATTGCGTCTTAGACAAGTGACAGCCTGTCCACAGTGTATGAGCTCATTTCTGTAGGGATATGACTTTAGGCCTGTGTCACTATCAGAGCAGAGAGCAGTCAGTCAGGAACCAGGGTGATGTCAGAGGAAACGTGTGCTTCCCGCTGCGCCCTCTTTTTGACGGTGTATCATGTAGTTTTCCTCCGCTTTTCCAACAGGACGCAGCTGCTGTCCATTCTAACATTGCACCACATCATCAGTATTATAATTGTGCTAGCTAGCATTATGTGGCACAGAATGAAGGTCATGAAAGCTTGCTAGGATTTTGAATCGGTGGTGTGTTTTCCTGCCATGTTGGGCTTCTGGTCTGTTTTAACCAAACTGCCACATCTGCCAAATTCTACTGTTATAATTCATATTTATATGAGTAAAATAACTCAATAACTTTAAATGTGTTATCTTATAAAGGCAACTTCTGATTGTCCAAGTATAAAGTAGTTCAGTTACACAAAAGCTAAATAAATACGCATGACTAGTGTTACCAGAATTAATTGTGTTTTACATGTAATTTTCAAAAACCAACAGTGAAAAACTACTCATAATATCAAGGTACATCAGTGAATTAACAAATATAAATGGTAAAAATGTGTGCCCTTCTTTGTGCAGGACTACCGCCAGCGTTTCCGGGCAGTTCTTGTGGAAGCGACACTGAAGTTGGATGAGCAGATGAAAAGAATTGGGAGAGCTGTGGATGACTCTAAACCATACTGGGAGGCTCGCAAAGTGGCTCGACAGGTGAGAACCAATCTGGCAACCTAAACTCACATGTGCAGTATAGTGTCTGAGCTGCTGTGTGTGAGACCAGCAACTCGGTGATGTGGGGATGACAAGTTTAAAGAGCTTCTTAGATCTACTTAAAGGGAGCTCTGTCACGTGTAGCCTATTTTTAGCATCCTTTTCACCTCTGTTCATTGACACTGTAAAACTTAATTTCAGCACATTAAGCAGCAAAAAAAGAGTCAGAGAGGAGGCATAGGTTAGGTGAATATTTTTAGATGCATCTTTTTCTTTTGTAAAAAAAAAAAAATATTTATCAAGAACTTTCTCAGAATTATGTGATCTGCATCCTCATACTTTTTTTTGTTTTAAATCGAATACAGGCACAGAATATGATTCATACTTGATTAATGTTGAAAACTAGAAACCTATTTTTGTGTGTACCATTGTATTTAGTAACAGTGTATTGGTTTAGACAATGTGTTACTTTAAATTATTATGCATTACTATTTATTGTAAATATTTTAATTAAAAAAATACTATTGGTGACAGCTGAGAAAGGAATGCTGCCCTTATGGTCCAGATCGCCACTTCTAAACTTATAAATCCCATTGACTTAATCAATGTACCAGCCTTTCAACCTCCTAAACACTGCTCTTTGCTTGCATGTGCAAAGCAGTAGCCTGTTGTTCCAGATGGCATGCAGGTTATTCTTTCCAAAGGTCTTGCCAATGCCCTGCACCTGCCCAAGGACTCTTTGATTTGACTGGACAGTGTCAGATCTTTAGTTTTAACCAATACAGAGGTGGCGTGTTTGTCATTATTCATCCTGACATTTGTGTGTCACAGGCCATAGCAGAAGTGTCTAACTAAAATAGCCTGTGCATAACTATGTGTTTCTCTGTGCGATTACTGTGCAGTTGACATTTTCCTCCTGTGAACGCTAGGGATTATGGGAAGGTTCTGATATAGGATTAATCATTTTTATTAATTGCAGTTGAGTTTGTGAAAGTATGATATCAATGGACTCTGGCATATTGTATGGCTTATGACTTATGGATGAGTGTTTAATTTTTAATACATGACCTACTTCAAAGGGATTAGATTCTTAGCCCCAGTGACCCCAATGCACAAACACAGTGAAGTCTACCCCCACACATAAACCAGCCACTCTCATCCCCAGCCCCCACGCCTCTCCTCTTTACATTCCAGCACTTTTGGTTTGGTGCGCCTGCCAGGAATTTGCCCATACTGTCTAATGTTTTCTCTTCTCACTCACAATTTTTATGTGCCACCACATGTCTGGCTTCTAGACAGTAGTGTTGTCATGATATAAATCCATGTTGATACTAAGAGAAACATTTGATATTCAATACTGAGATTTGATACCACAATAATTAACAAGAACACTATTTTGTTTACGTATGGCCCTTCGTAAAACTGTAGCACTCTGTAGATACGATGAAAACAGGTTGTGTTTTATGGGGGAACATGCACATAAGCAATTGCTTCATCCTATTCCTTTTGGGGTATGTAGGCCTCTCACGATAATTACTTTTTCTTTGCAATGGTGAGGAGAGTAGAGACACTTTTATAGCTAATTAATGGCTCTTTCTGTCATTTACTGGTTGCAGCTCAGGCTTTTTAAGTACATGTCTACTATTTAAAAATCGGTTACTTGGTATTATGTTAAATATTATTATTTATGTCAATATATCTCTGTAGCAGTATATAGCGCTTTGAAATTTTTTGACAGTATGTATGAATGTAATTTAAACAAGATGTAAAAAAAAAAAAAAAAAAAAAAAGAAACAACTAAACTAAACTTTTGTTACAGCTGCAGAGTCCTAAAACACTTGTAGTCATTGTAATGCATGACACACTATAATATAATGCGCCCTTTAACGCAGTATGCTAATGAGGTGAATCTGCTATCATTTACATATCCCCTCATTCCCAACTGCCTCCTGTTTACACATAACATTGGTATAGATGATATAATACAGACACAATTGTACATGTGTGTTCTTGTCTGTACATGCACATTACTCATGTTACCACATCTCTGCCACATTAAAACGTGCTTAAATGAAAAGAACAGTTGCTACTTTAAGAACATTCTGCAGTTTGGGATAGGAAGTGTCTTGGAAGGAAGTCATGGAAAAGACAATACGATGTGGGTGACATTTTTTCTGCAGTTTGACATAAATCTGTGATGGATGCCCCAGCCAATTGTTTGTTTCTTGTCGAGCTCATCAAATATCTATTATCCTCCTTCTGTTTTGGTGGGAGTCCCTCTAGTTCTGGAGCATGGGAAGTGGGTTGCAAAGAGGAATAAAATGACAAGATTTTTCATTGCAGTTTGTGTGGGATGGCTACTATCTAGATTCTAGACACTATCGTTTAGGTCTTTGGTATCTTTACAATTACAGATATCCTAGCAGTAAGATGCCAGCCTTTGTATGGAGCTTGAGTCTTGTGAGAAGATGCAGAGGGGAGCTTGCTTGCGTCACTGTGCTAACCTTATCTTGACAGTGCAAGGAGGGTCTTGGTAAAGAGGTTAATGAATATGCTGCCCTCGGAGGCCATGAGAAAAACGGAATACCGTACTAAATACTATAAACAAAGATACACAAGGATCATGGGGAGGCCATTTATGTTAAAGGTTGTTGAATTAAATAACTCACAAATTTCATGGTTTTCTTCAACAGTTCTTGAATATGGTTTTCATCTTTATCTATTTGTTTTTATTAGATATTCTAAGAGGTAGTTAGAATGTTTAAAATAAAAAGAAATGCATATATAAAATTTTAATGCTACAAGGCAGCAGATTTAAATCAAGTAGCAATTTAGACAGAAAAGAGTCTGTAGCCATAGGATGAGGAAAGGGTCGCTCTGTACATTTTTAAAGTCATAAATTGTTAGATGACAGTGAGTGACTTGACCATCTAACCCACCACTGCAGAATACACATGTTAAGAAGATGTCATTGAAAAGCTGAATAAATAAGTATTTCCAAAGTTATGACTCTGGTGCATTAATCATGGCCTGTGTGTCAACTGAAAGAGTGTGGGTTCAAATATGTTGAGAATGATGAGAATAACTGCTCCATTGATTTGACTGTTGGTAGGAAGCGCCCACTGACAGTGTGTCAGATTGACTTAATGATTTTCTTTCATCAAGGCTTCGAACCACAGTCCTCACAGTGTGTGTATGTGTCCTTGTCCTGCTCTGGCTGTCATAAAGAATCACCCACAGTTCCTTCACTATGAATATAGGTCATAAAATAGGCATGCTTAGAGAAGTTGGATTTAATCAAACCAAGTTCACTAACACATTTTTTGTAAGTCATTTCCTATTGCTACTTGCTCAATGTATTGTTCAATACTTGATAGGAACAATATATTATGGGGCTCATTATTTATTGTGTGTAAAATATTGTTGTAAAATGGGGAGATGGGGTATTTTTGTCATAACACAATAAGATTTGGGCTGTGAAAGGTTGAATAAGTAACGTATATGGCCAATTATTATTGGTTAATTCTGTTATTTGTGTGTTGCTGCTCATGCCTTTTAATGATATGGTTCATTTAACTGAGAATATCTTGCATTATTGTTATTGAGTTATTGAGAAGTAGTTTCAATATTGTTGTTTGTCACAATACTTTTCTGGACGAATTTGGTATTGTTACAAGACTACCTATTGCAACTTAATCTTCCTGTCTCACCTGAAAATGTGCATTAATGTAAAGGTAGTGACTCTTATTAAAGCATTTACCGTGCTCCACAAATTGCTTACTCATAAATGATTTTTTTTATCCCAAGACCCATATATTACTCACATAACCGACAGCAGTTTGAGTAGTTATTGTGTCAGTGTTATTGTGCAATTTCCATGTTTTTTTTTTTTTTTCTTAATGTGCATCTGTTTTTTGCATGCAGGCCCAGATTGAAGCCCAAAAGGCCACTCAAGAATTCCAGCGAGCTGTGGAGATCCTGAGAGCAGCTAAAGAAACTATAGCTCTGGCTGAAGAGAGGCTGCTGGAGGAGGACAGTCGCCAGTTTGACTCTGCGTGGCAAGAGATGTTAAACCATGCTACACAAAGGGTATTTCATCATTGATTTAGATTTTTAAAAAATCATAGGGTATTTTTGAGTACATTGTATTATTCATTCCAGGAAGTTGGACATAGATAAATGACTGAAGAGCAACAATGTGTTAATTGAATAAATGAAAGTTAACACAGATACCAAACCATGTAATGCAAAATGATAAGCTTGTCAAATACAGTTTCAGTTCATTTTTCAGTCTTTTGGTCAATTCATCTGAATGCCTTAACAATGTGAACTTTGAACAGAATCCTATTAAAACACAACTCGCAAATCTAAGCACAATCTGATTGCTTGTCCAGAAAATGTGATATTTTTCCCAAAATGTTCAGCCCTAATATTTAGTGATAATATCAGAAATATATTTAGAAGGAGTGGTTGAGGAATATGATTGTTCTGATACTGTGTTAGCGTTTATCACATATTTGCCAGGTGGTCAAGAAAGAGGCAACCCGACATGTCTATGCCAGATTCATTCACTATTCACTATTTCTGAAGTTAAAATGTTCAAAGAATTGCAAGCTCAATCAATTTGGGTAAGCAGGCTAATCTCTCTTATTACACAGGTAATGGAAGCCGAGCAGGCAAGAACACGCAGCGAGGCCGAACACCGAAAAACTGCGGCCAATTACAACTCCTGCATCAGTCATATGAAGCAGCTAGAGAAGAAACTTAAGCGCTCCATCAACAAATCAAGGTTTGTGTTATGCCTTTCTGCAAAGTACTGTATCTAGCCTCGCTGTGGCCTCAGAGTGTGGGGGAATGGGAGAAAAGAGGCTGCACTGTGATGAGGTCCAGATGTTTTTTGTAGCCGGCCAGTGTTGGGGTGTGCTCAGTTTGTAAGAGCCAAGGAATGCTGCCTCTTACAGGCCAGGATTAGCAAACTCCTCCAGCTATTCTCCAGTGACAATAAATGGGGGTCCTGCCATTCACTTTCTCTCCTTTTCTCCCTCTGCAGGCCATACTTTGAACTGAAATCCAAGTATTATGTCCAACTTGAGGTATGTATTTGTTTTATATGGTAGTACACTGTGTTCTGTGTTCTGTACAAATGTAATCACATGTGCTAAATTAAGTTAGGTGGATCTTAAAGGTCCTATATTACACAAAATAGATTCTTGTGAGCTTTAAACCATGTTAGAATGTTTTTATCTAATCAAGAACATACCTGGTGTTGTGTTTTGTTTCATTCACACATTTGCGTAACACTTTTATTATTAGTCGGTCTACATCTCTAAAACTCAAAAGACTCTGTTCTGCCTTGTGATGTCATGTAATGATAGTTTTCAAGTTAATAGCTACCTTTTACCTTTAGTTCAGTAGAGATTGGCAATTACAGAGTTGAGATCATCCAAATGACTCTAGTGAAGGTGTATGGAGTTTAAAAACACAGTGGAGCACTTCCTGTATTACCACATGTCATCACAAAGTGGAACAAAGTGTCTTCTGTTTGAGAGAAGAATTCAGTTTACATATGCAAAAGTTGATTAAGTGTACTACATAATCTACTATATAGAACTTTTGTCACCACACTAACAATACATACCACTATTTACACTGACCTTTAGGTACATCAGCAAAACATTCAACAACCAGCATGTTCATTGTGTGAATATTAAACAGACAGTTCGGAGATGAGTCTTCCAAATGCATTTCAAACATAAATGTCCAACATATATTGGAAGAAATATTTTGATTATGTCCTTTCTGAATAGTGTAACTTTCTTTTTCTTGCAGCAACTGAAGCGCCAAGTGGATGACCGTCAGGCTAAGCTAGTGGTGGCAAAGGCAGAGTACCGCACAGCTCTACGTAATTTGGAAAGCATATCAGAGGAGATCCACGCTCAGAGACGTTCTCTGGCTCTCGGCACCCGAGAGCAGGGCGTGGGTGCGGAGAAAGATACCACCCAAGAGGACATTGACAAATTCAAGATGGAATCAGATGGGTTATCAAGTAAGTGTGAATGTATCATATTTAGCCATCAAAAGGTTATTATGATAATACAGTTTAAGAACGTCTAATTGTAAAATGAATTAATCAAAATAATGATATAGTAAGGGGTCTCCAATCTATATTACAATATATTATATATAATATAATTACAGTATATTACACTGAATAATTAAAATCTGATTAATCACATAAATGTCTAATTGACATTTATAGTTTATGTTTATAGGCATCTATATATACCCTATCTCAAGCGAAAGTCGTTACCTTATATTGGCCCAGTTTAGTGCAACCCCTAAAAGAAGTAGCTCTCTGCCATTTTCATTTTGTAAAAGTATGTAGTATGTAGGTTGGACACCCCTACAGTAATACGCCTCAGAAAAGTGAGATAAGGCAATAAATAAAGCAGAAAAGCATAATTATAAAAGTTACAAAGTAATAAACCATAATTTTCTTATTTTAATTTTTTTTTAAGTGTCTTTTATTATCAAATTTACTTTAAAAGAAATTTTAAAAAGTAATTTCTTAATCCCAATTCTGAACTCTGCCCTGGAATCACATGCTTTTTACTGAAAGAAGATTGGCTTTGATGAATCTCTTGATTAAAGAGACCCATATCACTGACAATTAGAAACAATTGAATCACTATCTTGATTGAAATTTGATTAATCCCATCGACCAAAATGCCTGTTATTATCCCAGATGCTTGAGTGGTTTTAACATTTATGTAGATATGTTGAAATATAAAGATACTATTAGTTTTGATGTTATGTATTTTCCAGTGGGTTGTAATGTGCTTGTGTGAAATCACTCCCACATTTACCCTGTGTATTGTGCATGTGTTGTAGTGGTGTCCGTGTGCATTGATGAAGAGGTCAGTCAAAGCAGCTGCTCAGAGGAAGAGACAGACACTTCCTCTACTCCTTCGTCCTCATCATCCTCTACGCCCTTGGACATGCCCTCCCATTTCATGTCCCCACCCCTGTCTCCCCTGTCCCCCTGTACCAGCACAGTGGAGCCTGAGAGCCCCTGCAACTCACACAGCCCAGATTCCCCTGTCCTAGGCCCTCGCAGCCAGTGCAGTGGGGCCTCCTCTCCAGACTGTGACCAGGAGAGAGGTGTGTGACCCTCATTCCTCATGTCACTCCCAATGTATGTGTGTCAATATTTAAAGATGCACTGCGTAGCGTTTCCAGTGGAGGGTCTGCTATCTGCTTGTCTACATGAGGATGTTGTTCCACAGTATAGATTAAACCTATCTATCACAAGGGAAACAAGCAGGTTACAGCACTACGCTACAGATCTGTGCAGAGTCGCCCCTGTTCACAGAAGGCATTATTGTATTTTTGAGCAATCGAAACACCTATAATGAATAAATGCTAGATGGATATTTTTAATGCCACACCATGGAACATACCAGGAAAAGCAATAACATCTCCATTGAGACAAGCAGGTAGTGGACCCTTCACCAGAAAACTCGCACAGTGTACCTTTAAACTTCACCCAAATGTACAAAAAATACCTCATTATACTAGAAATGCTCTGTACAAAAAATATACATAAATATTATGAACTTGGTGAGCAGATTGTTTTAGCATTAATTCCATGTTATTGTTAAATCAACTAGAGTGACTACAGTATGCCTAATCTTGTAAAATCATTAATACGTTAAAATAATGGATAAGATTATATATTTTTTTTTTCTTTTTATCGATCAGAATAAACTGTGCCAAAAAATAATTTGAATGTCTTTTGCCTTTCCTGTGTCTTCCAGGTGACAGAGCAGAGGGCGCAGAAGTGACTCTAGAGGCAGGCTTAAAGAAGCTCACATTGACTGTAGCACAGAAAGACTCAGGAGACTCTGGTGAACAAAGTGATGACTTTAGGTATGTGAGCCCAGAGGTTCCCCTGTCCAGCCCATCTAAACCTCTTCTGCTCCTTAACAGTGTCTGAACTTCTGTTAATGTGATCACCATCATTATCCTCAATGTTAAGCTTAAAGACTTCGGGATAAAAGAAACCTTTAAAACTGTGACCTGGGTGTGCATTAAAGATGCATGACATTTTTTTAACGTTTTAGCTACATAGTACATCTGGGCTTCCAAACATGTTCAGTAAAATAGATCCAACAAGTCTAATATTCTAAAGTATAAATGGACAGTACTTCTTCAATACTGTCCTACAATAAGTTGTTCATGATATTTTTGTACACAGCCATAAAAGTGTTAACTGAACCAGCTTTATTCAAAAAGCATACAATGTATGACTCATGTTTTTAAATGGGTCTTTGTGTGGTCCTGCACTGATTTTAATTTAACATTTCATCTACAAAGTTGTTTTCTGCAAAAAAGTTACCACAAAAGTTAACACATTTCTATAGCTTATAGAGTATGCAATTGACTATGCCAGTGGTTTATTGATGCAACACTAAGATTTTGTGTTCTTGTAGGCTTAAGTATTATATAGTTGTTTATTGTATCACTCCATTCAAGTTAACATGTTAGCTATGATCTGAAGGAAGTTGAAGGTTAACATTCAGTATGCAGTCTAAATAAACCTAGATCCACTGAGAGTAAATACTACTCATCTTCCACTAAGATTTGGATGTGTTAAAGAGATCAGTATCTGATTGCTCATTGATATTTTATGTCAAAAACCCATTTGAACAAATAATCTATATTTATATATGTATAATTTTGTATATGACATTGTTGTGGGATGAATGTTGTTAATAAATGTGTTTTGTAAAACCTCTGGCACTTTCCTGACATCCTTTCAGATCCAATAGGCTCCCTATAACAAGGCAACACACAATGTATCAATGTAATTACAAAATATAGCCTTAATTACATAATATCCTGCACTATTCCTCCTGCTGACTGTTTTCTTGCCCCTTTATTCACAGCTGAAATGGTAAATGATCCACATTGCTTGCTGTGTGCAGAATAACCTCATGACTTAAGTTAGCAGCCTGACAACATCAGACTTGAGTTAGGTCACTCGAGGTATGCCCTGGCTGCATCGTGCCTCTGTTTGGCCTGTATGCACATGGTTCATAAAACGTGCTGTTATATTTTGCTTTGTGCTTTCATCGTCATTTAATATAACAAAAGGACATGCAATTAATGTGCAACTAATATTATGGGGAATTTTCAAGTGATTGCATATTTTGAGCCTGACAAGCGGGCCTATATGCTTTTTGCCTGAGAATACACACTTCTTCAATACATTATCAATCTATATAAAAAAGAGAGAAAGAGATTGAGATTTGTCAGGCAACTAGCTGCTCTTCTAAATAATATTAACTTTCTTTGTCTTTGTTCCCTGGTCATTTGTATTAGATGTTAGGTGTGAATATAGCTAGTTTTCCAAAAAATAACAACACCCCGACCCCAGGCTCCAGCACCATTGTATTGTCTGATAGTGACATCTAGTGATAGCTATCTGTATTGCAACAAATGCCAAACGCCATCAATGACCAATAATTACAGTCTAGACTCTGCCAATGATCTGCATTAAAAAATAAAAATAAAAAAAAAGTCATTGATTGTCGTCTCAGACAAGGCCTGCTGTTTGCCTGCTGTTAGACGTAAAAAAAAAAAATGAATGAAGAAGAAAAACAAGAAATGAAAAGAAAAACGTCGGCAACTTTACTTGACGGATTAGTGAACACATGCCTACATTTAAACAGTAGTGTTCTGTACTTTAGGCTATAGGGTACTGATTACATTTATTTTAACAATCTTATTAGGTCTTTTCTTAGCTTTTAGAGCACGCTCGTAATTTGTGTCATATGACATTAATCACATGACTCCAATAGCTAGCAATCGTCTCCTTGTCATTGATTGGCTGGTAGTTCTTGTAGACGTGCTGTGATTGGTCAAATGAGATTGTCAATATCCTGGTTAAGCATTTCCCCAATAAATAGCGGTTTACAGATGTTGTAGGACGTTTTTAACTTTTATTGTCTATGGCGGTCATCGTGGTGTCGTAGATTGGACTTCATGGTTTAGTTTTGCTAATATTCTGCGTTTAGTCAATAGAAACCATGCTGTGTTGGAGCCATGTCGTAGTTTTCCTTTTGTGCACCGTCATAGGTAAGTCTAATATAGCCTATGTACTATTGAACATTTGTTTTCAGGCATTCAGTCAAGAATTTCAGGCAGTCATTGACCTTCTGTTGAGAGCCGCTTAGTGGAAGTGGCTCAGTGTGAAAAACGCAACATTGTTTTCTTTCACCTACCTACCTGACGCCTGTCTACCTCAAACATTTTTGTAACACACTTCACACCACATAATGGCTGAACATCAAACAACTATGTCCAGTATTTCTGTGTGTGTTAAATTAATTAAATTTTCATATTAATTTTTGTTCCTGCTCTGTACTTTCTGTAGGTATCAAGGGGAAATCTGTCCCTCCACTTCCAGATTTCGGCCAAACGTATCATGTTAAAGGTAAAAAGGGTGCATTGTAAACTTAAATTAAATACATTTTATATGATATTGTGCATTTCCAGCATTCTTCACATTGCATTCACAGGTGTAATCTCACTGCCTTATGCTGAGATCCAAGAACCATTTGAGGCCTGGTTGGACCTAGCTGCCAAATCTAGTCGAATTGACTACTATCACGGTAAGCTACAACAGCATATCCAAAACCTGACTTTTATCACATGATCAGTGATGTGAAACCAAAAACTACTTGTGTCAGACCAGTGTGACTAGACTAAAGAAAACAGAAATGAAAAATGTCGAGTAAGCACTAATGTTTTTTTTACTTTCTTTTTATGGAAGTATAAAATCCAGCTTCATTACATTTGCTAAATTACAAGTAAAAATCATTTTGTTTTTGTTATTTCATAAAGGGCAAGTCTCAACCTACCAGCTGGGGGCAGATCAACAGTATGGCACTGCTTACAAGATCAGTCCAGAGACTACTGAGACCGAGCTCAATGTCATGAAGTGCTTTCAGGTTAATGGAACCAAAGATGATCTTGTCAAACCACAAACATCATTACCAGATATACAAGGTTTCCAGGTAAGAGGAGAGAAGAATATGAAATCACCATGTGCAGCTTAAGTCTATAGATTGCTCAAGATGTTCACTTCTATTTTCATGAACAATGTTGAATTTAAATTTACATTATGTTACTTTTCTGGTGTCTTGCCCGCTACCCATTTCTCTCCATAGAGATGTTATTGCATTGCCTGAATGGTCCATAGAATGGTAATAAACTTATCCATCTGTGTGAACAGTGTTTGACTTGGCCTGCTAGCACCACCTGCTTGTCTGTGGAACATTCGGCTATGCAGTAATATCTCAACGGCAACAAGCATGTGGCAGACCCTCCACCAGAAACTTTCATATTGTACATTTTTAAAGAAACTACTCACTTTTTGTCTTTTAGTTTCTGAGGATGGAGTACTATGGAGGATCTCTGTGTGAAGTTTGGCAGAATGTCACAACAGTGGGTAATAAGAAAAATACATACACATTGTGGGTGACCCGCTCCGAGAGTGGACCTGATGCCCTGCCTTTACATTATGAGATGATGGGATATAACACCCTGCTGGGCTCTCACTATGACAAATACCTGGTGGACTACAAAGAATATAGTGCTCATGTGGACCCCAAAGTCTTTTCGCTTCCTGAAGGTATCCAGAAATGGCAAGAAATGCTGTACTGACTTTTTTGTTTGTAAGATTTAATACTTAAATAATGTTTTATACCTCAAGGTATGACTTGTGGAGGATTCCCTGGGCCTGGAGTGGAACACCATATACTTGCCAATCCAATGAAAGAACTCATTCACACATCTGCAACGGGTCACACACAGCACATATTTAACCACTTCAAAGAGAAGTTTCAGCGACAGTACTCCAGTGAAAAAGAGCATGAGGAAAGGGAGCATGCTTTTGTGAATAATCTTCGGTAAGTGAAACAATTACAGTAATAAGAAAGCTTTTATGAAGGAAAGCACTGAGTTGTCTCTTGTTGCTCTTAGCTAAAATAAATGCATGCATAAATATTTCAACATTAAAATTTTAGGTATGTCCACTCAAAGAACCGAGCGGGGCTCTCTTATGCTCTGGCCCTAAACTCCCTGTCCGATCGGACCATGTCAGAACTGGCCGTGATGAGAGGAAGGAAAACAGGCAAAACTCCAAATCGTGGGCTTCCTTTTCCTAGAGTTTATAGCAACGTGAAAGTGCCCGAGTCTCTCGATTGGAGACTTTATGGTAAGTATCCATCAAAATATGATAAATAAGTTTACAACAATTATCATTGCTTGATTGTATATTTTATTTTCAGGTGCTGTAACCCCAGTGAAGGACCAGGCCATCTGTGGCTCTTGTTGGAGCTTTGCTACCACTGGAACCATAGAGGGCGCACTTTTTCTGAAGGTGAAGTATTAAGAACTATCTGGGATTTTTTCCACATTCCTTAATGTTTTCCTGGCTTGGCCATTTTGTAGAATTTCTTTAGCTTAAAAAGGAAAGAAAATAATAAAATGTAGATTTCTCTTACTATTCAAGTAAGATGCCTACAGTTATTATGTCTGCCTTCCACATTAACATGAGAATACCTTGGTACGGCACATTAGCAAGATGACAACAGTGGATGTCTTTGTGGACCTCTTACTGTGTAAGCAATGAAATTCCTTTTAATGTGTTGCTGGGCAACACTTAAAGGAACTAGTTAATTGTGAGATTTGCTCACACCAAATTCAAGTGACAAACTCTAGACTCCTTGTCTGGTTTAAAATGGAAATGTTGTTAATGCTTGAGCTTCAGCAGTAGGATTTTGTAATGAAATTACTCAGGTGAACAATTTACAAGGTCACTAAAATATACCTACTGTTTAAACTAAACTCCTCTAGTTCATTTAAACATGTGTTCTAAATTTTAGTTTTGGCCAACTATTTTCTATAAAGCTGAGCCTTTTCCCTGTAGATGGCTCTTTTGCATGTAGAACTGTTTCAGCCCTGGCGCCTGGCTGTTGGAGGACGCTCCCTTTAATCCTGAAAACAATTACGTCAGTGGGTGACCCCAAATAACCAGTGGGTATACTGATGATGATTTTTTTTTTTTCTATTTTGCAGACTGGTTCTTTGCAGGTCCTGTCCCAGCAGGTACTGGTGGACTGTTCCTGGGGATTTGGGAATAATGGCTGTGATGGTGGTGAGGAATGGAGGGCATATGAGTGGATCATGAAACATGGAGGGATTGCCACAACAGAGACATATGGAGCTTATCTGGGAATGGTAAGATGATACTCTCTCTCAACAATATTGAATTGCTCAATTGCAGATGTTTTAAAGTGTTGCCCCTATCTAAAATTCCTTTATTTTAGTATGTTTGTTTTAGTGTGCTTTGTTTGTTAAAATAATGCAATAATGATTGTTTGTTGCCAACAGAATGGGTTTTGCCACCTGAATAGTTCTCAGCTCACAGCTCGTATTCAGAGCTATACCAATGTGACCTCAGGTGACACAGAAGCTCTCAAAGTGGCGCTCTTTAAAAATGGACCTGTTGCTGTCAGTATTGATGCATCACACCGATCATTTGTTTTTTATAGCCATGGCGTCTACTATGAACCTGCTTGTGGTAAGATTTTCAGTTTACTAACATGTTAAGGGTGAATTTTATTTGTTCAGATCTTACTTTTTTTTTTTTTTTTTTTTTAGGAAATACCACAGATGCTCTGGATCATGCTGTGCTGGCAGTTGGATATGGCAGTCTCGATGGGGAGCCCTACTGGTTGATTAAGAACTCCTGGTCCACTTATTGGGGAAACGATGGCTACATCCTTATGTCTATGAAGGACAACAATTGTGGAGTAACCACTGATGCCACATATGTGACTTTAGCCTAGGCAGAATAGTATGTCTGGGTTAGGTCTTAAAGCCACCGTAGATGCGTTACAGTGGACTGTTAAATATTGGTTTTGAAGTTGCCTTATGCTTAATGTAATTGGTGTTTTTAGTTTTTGTAACAAATTCCTGCACAAAAATTGCACTCAACTGATTTTAATAGGTTTATTATATATGACTGAAAGGCCATCACTTTATTACTAAAGGCACATTAGTTGTTTTTAATGCAATGCATTAAAATGAGGAAATAATGAAAGAAAGTGATACAATAAAGTTTATTTTATCAATGAGACCCATACAAAATGTATTTAATTGCATGCACTTCAACTCATGCTAACTTTTTCAAGACTAAAAGATTTTTTTTTAAAAACATTCTGTAGTTTCAAACAGCCATGCTTTGTGTAACATTCTGTAGTTTGAAACGGTCTAGTTTCAAACAAAAACAATGTCTATCTCAATTTTTAGTACAGGTAGATGTGTAAACTTAAAACAAAAGCATTTTTAAAATAGCACCACAGTAATTCATTGTAAACATCATACTGTAGCCCTTTCTTAAAGAGTGTAAATACACAAAACACTGCATGCTACAAAAAGTCAAAAGGTATATGCTACTAAAATATTGACTATAATGTAACATTCACATCACAGAAAATGGTACAGTAACAGTCAAAAGCTATTTGCTTTATTATATATAGATATATATAGAAAACCAAAAAAAAAACAATTGTGCGTTTAAACTTGTTTTCTCTCCCTTGTCCAATATCATCAACATTGGCACAAAAGGTACATGTAATGAACCTATCAGCAGAAATGGAACAAAAGGCTTAAAATAATGAAACTGTAAACCGACAAATACTGAGTGTTTTTAATCAGTAACAAGAATATTATTATAAAACCAGCTTGGCATCAGAAAAGACAGTCATTCCTTGTGCTTGTTCTTTCAGTGGATAAGTTGGATAAAAAAACATGGTTATTGCATAGAATGTATTGCATAGAGTGCAGTGTGATAAATGTTTGAAGTTGGTTCAGCCTTTTCTTTTAATGAAATGTAAAAAAGCAATATTCTACATATTGCTTCTAAGATGATGTTCCCCTGTCTTGTCTGTTAATTCACACATATCAGCTGGTACTTTAAGTTTTTCAATGTCAGCTGGTGTTCTACAGAAAAGAAAGTTTCAGAAAGTTACACAAAGTAACTCAATATTGAATTATATTGCAAATCTTGGAGAGCTCAGGATTGTATTCATTTTTGCGCTCTAACCTTGTGTTCCAGTTCTCCACATCTTCCACAGTGTCTGGTAGAGGTTTGTCAGCAGTTTCAGGCAGCATCAGAGCCAGCACAGCTCCGAGCACAGGCGCAGTCCCAAAAATAACCAGCGGCGTGGTGGGACTATGGCTGTGGATCATATTAATAATAGGTGCCAAAACACCACCCATTCTGGCAAACATGCTAGACACACCAATCCCTGTTTGGCTGAAATTTATAGACATAAGAAATCTATGTTAAATTTCACACATATACAAGAAACTCCAACGTTTTCTCCAGAGGGTTCCTACCGAAGGACAGTTGGGAATATTTCTGCAGTGTACACATAGACTACAGCAAAAGAAGCGGTGATCCCAAATTTTCCCACCATGGCAAGACCAGTTAACATGTTGGATTGATCTATGAGGAAAATCACAAATATATTACACAGAGAAAGTTTGCTGTCTGATTCATTGGGCCAACATTACCTGCAGGAACAGCTAGCATGAAAAGACAGGCTAGTCCTCCAACAGCCAGAAAACCACTCTGAGAAAAGCGGCGGCTGAATGGGAGGACAAACAGAACTATGGAGCGAGCTGGAATTTCAACCAGGCCAAACACAAACTGAGTCAGATATAGGTTTGTGCCCAGTCTGGAGACTCCCAATGAGAGGCCGTAATACACCAGCACATTCACAAACCTTAAAAAAAATAAAAAGGCATTTGTGTTTTGTCGGCATAACACTTTACAAGGGACCTTGTAACTGAATTACCAGATGTAAAACAGGATGAGGGCTCGTTTTCTCATCTTAGGAGTACGCACAAGGTCCAGTGCTGTGTGACGGTGCTTGCTTCCACCTCCAACCTCACATTTTTCCACCTAGGCATAAAGAGCATTTTCACTTTTTAATATATTTATTGACTGTGCACTGTTCTTTACACATATACAATACAGCTTTACAGTAATATAATATAATATAAAATAATATAATGTAATGTAATGTAATGTAATATAATATAATATATAATATATAATATAAAGAACCAAAATGAAGTATCCACACCACAGTATTCATGCATGATATCAAGTGTAAAGGTTTTACTAGATATAACTTATATGCCAAGTTCCCAGGAACTTGGAGCTCCTCCATACGCCACTAGATTTAACTAGTGGCTTTGCATCTGTTCTAGTTGGATGCGACTCCCACTCAAGAATGTACACTTATCTAGGACAGAGTTGTGTAAATCTGACTCTCAGTTGTACTGGAAATTTATACTCAGCTAAACAAGAGGTCTGTTTCTCGTTTGCTCAAATACAAGGTGTTTTTTGTTTGTTTTTTTAACTTTTTCTTTTCAAAATAGTAGTAAAAACTTTTATCATATAATATTTCTATAACCCTATTCATTGTAGTGACTTTTGTACAGAGACCCACTTGCAGTGTGGGGGGTAACTCCCGGCCGTTCACTAGTGCAGCCTTGCGGAGCAGTGCAATGGCCTCGTCTTTTCTGTTGTTGGCCAACAACCACCTGGCGGACTGGGGAAGCACCCTGGGAGTGTAGAGGCAGAGGTGGAGTGGGAAATGGAAGGATGCCAGGAATGAGAGCAGAGGAGAGCATGAGCTTCACAAAGAGTGCCTTTAAGCACTCTCAGAAAAAAACATAAATACACAGTGAGTGTAATGTTTAGACACCATATATAGAAAATAAGCAGGAAGCCAGGGGCCGATATTGCCAGTTGTAACTTTCTCCAGTCTCGTATAAGGTAAGCTATGCCTGCTATCATCATGTAGCCCAGACCAAAGGCATAGTCGGTGGTGATGCCAGCCAGCATGCGTCTTTTGGTGCATGTCCACTCAGTACCTTAAAAAAACAACAGATTGTGGGGTGGAGGGAGGAGGGAAGAACAGGACCAAGGTACAGGGTTAAACTGAGGTGGTGAGGAGCACAGTGCAGTGGATACAGTGGTAAAGGTAAAGGTATATTGTGGGGTGTGACAGGAAACAGGCAAAGCAAAATGTCAAATTAAGTCAAACCATGAAGGTGTAATGTACTACAATTGGCAGCTTAAAATTTGGATTCCACTGAAGTGGCGCCAGAAAATAGCGATAACTGCGACATTACAATTAATGTGATATAGAGTAGCCTCTATTTATAGACACTGATATTTGGTATCTCTTACACTTGCATTGTAAATGAAGGCCTGGTTCCTTCATTTACAGCTGGCAGCTTCAAGAGATATTTATATAGTATCATTTGCCATGTAAATTAAAATGTGTAATGCACTTTAATTTATGAACTAAGCTTGCATGTATTATATTGACATGTTATTTGTGTGTCAGTACCAAGTACAAAAGCATTTATGATGACTCCGGATATTGTTGCACCAACAACAAAGCGAAGCATCACATAAACAGTGAAGTTTGGTGCGAAGGCCACAGCCACTCCAAACACTGTCTGGAGTGCAATGGACAGCAGCAGGATGAGGCGCCTGCCATACCTTTGGGACAAACATAAACCCAAGATTAGAGTTGTGTAAGCAATGACACACTTAAACTTTCAGAGGTCCAAACTTTTTCAGCCCACCAAAAACTAAAAATGTCAAAGTCAGAGTCAGTTTCTTAATGTTGAGTCATATTACACAATAAACAGTAATTTTGTGAATAAATTCTGGAATGGAGGCAACTGGAGGCAAAAGTCAAGTGGAACATATTGCAATTTCAATTAAGAACATGGGATTAGCCACATCACAAAATATGAAAAATGAAGGGGATTTGGTAAGTGCACTCAAATGCATATAGGTGATATCAGACGCTGGTTTAGAGGCATTTACAATAATTGTATAATTATTGTATTTCAGTGCATTTGTTTATTTATTTACTCCATCAGTCTGTTATTCCTGGAGTCCAATTTAATAAGAGATCATGACACTTTATTTCCATGTACATTTATATATTATTATTTATAAATGGCATATTATATCACACATACTTTTGTGAAGCTCAAATATAATTTCATCCTTTGTAATAGAAAAGTAAACTAACAGACAACATTTTTACCCTGTAAATTCAAAATGGTTGCTATTATTTTGTATTTAGATGTGGTCTATGATGGTCTATTTAATCTGATTCCAGTCACCCATCTTCCATAATTTTGAATGTTCTGATGGTTTTCAACACTATGTGATTACATAATATTACACATGAAAATTCAGGCTTCAGTAGGAGCAAGGAGGATCCACTAGTCTAATATAATAATGGTCTCTGTTGTGGAATTTACTTGAGTTGACCACCAAGTAATTGTGGGGAACTGGGTTTGCCTTGGAGGAATACTATAGGCAATAGACTAAGAACATTATATGCCCTCCCTGCATGCAGCCATGCTTTGATGCTGGGTACAGCACTGCTGAATCTTTTTTTTTTTTTTTTTTTTAGTACAGCATAACATACCTGTCTGCAAGAGATCCAAACACCACTGATCCCACCAACAACCCAAACATGTAAATGGATGAGCCAATACTGTTCAGCCGGGCATTTTCACACACCAAGTCCCACTAGTGGATGATAAAAATCACATCAACGTTAGTAAATGAATGTATAGTTGACATAACATTCTATCCACTGGTGCAGTCCAAACCATATTGTGAGAAAAGATATTGAAGGTCTGACACAAGAGACTCTTGTTCTTATATCAGACTAAATGTGATATGAAAATTATGAACAGTTTATTAGGCGCGCATTTTGCTTATCAATGGCCTTTTTGTTAGTCACTGTATTATTAGGCTACAGTTTATAATTCTATAATTACCAGGTGTTACCTACATAATATTTCACTTTTTGTCTGATTTTTGTGTGCACCACATGAGATGGGTGTATATGATCATAAAGCTATAAAGAAAGTGACTCTACCTCAGTGACTGTGGTGCTTTGGAATGTCTCATTGCTGTAAACCCATCCGTGCACGCACCGCAGGGGAGCTGAACGGTTGTCCTGCAGAGACCTCTCCGACCAGGAACACGAATCCTCGCTGGAGTTAAGAATAAGCGGAGTGTAGTCAAATGTCCCGTTGCGCGCAACCGGGTCAAGGCTGTCTCGACATAGATGTGGCGGCGTGGCTCCAGTAAAGATGCTCACCATCATATGGAAAGCAAGCAGCACATTTGGTAAACATATCCATATATACAAAATCTTCTGGTATTTTCCGAACCCTCCAACAGCGGCTAGGATCTGGTCAAAATTCATTTTTGGTTCTGTTCTGGAGGATTGGCTCGACCACAACTGCCCGTCAAGCACTTGCTTTCCCGAGAAGGTAAATAAGGTAAATCAAATCCCACGTGATGGTTCGTCCACTCGCGAGCTCCCAGCTGTGGGGCAGTCCTTGAGTTACAAAATATACCCCCTGCCGCTCCCGCCTTTGATGGTTACGCTCCATGTAAGTCCAGCGCGCGCAAATTCATATGAAGTGCAGCTACCATTATCCGCTTTGATGCACAAAAACTGGTTCAAAGCCCATCTTTGTGTGTGTTCTCTTTGCAAGTGAAAAACAGCCCGAATAGACGAGTTATTATAAGCGAGTCTAATCATAAACATGTGCGTGTTCGTGGCAGATATTACTGGGCAGGGCCAGAGCATCGGAAGCAGCTATGAAGATTATTATATATATATATATATATATATATATATATATATATATATATATATATATATATATATATATATATATATATATATATATATATATATATATATTTTTTTTTTTTTTTTTTTTTTTTTGTCGATCTGTTTATTAACCGTGTAATACATGAGCTTCATAATTTTCTCAAAGGCCGATTGTTGTTTGTGCCAGTGAACCCCTTTCATAAATGTTGCGTACATCTTTGTCATAAAAGAGACTATGCTGCCACCTGCTGTCCACTGTTTAAAAAAGGTGATCTAGGGCCATTGCAATTAAAGCCCAATTTATTTCTAGGCTATTTTTATAAGTCATTTTAAAATATATCTATATGCCTAGGCCTTAAAAACAGCTTTGGATCGTGACGCGCAATTAGTTTATTGGATTGGAGAGAAAGATCCTTATAACATCAGACATTGGAGAGACGGCATTGCCTAAATTGGCTGAATAACAAATTGTCCTAGGTGCATAAAAAGCAAATACGTTAGGCCATTATAGCCAACTAAATAACGTAAACCCAAAATGGGCCATGTTTGTAGGATGCTGATTTATTTTTGAGACACAGACCGGAAGTGAAAGCACGTATGATTGCAAAATTGACTGAGGTGTTTAGCAGAGGAGACAGAGCCGCAGATCGTTAACAGAGCCAAAGGGACATGGCTGTAGGACGACAGCGGTGGACCGGGCCATGGGCGATATTCTACATCATCCACACGAGAACCTGACAGATCCAAATATCCGTGATTGAGGTCGAGTCTTCAATCCAGAAGCGAGGAGCATCTCCGCCCTCCATCATCAGGCCTAAAGTCACCCCGACAGTGACAGAGAAGACTACAGGGCGTAACGGAAAGGATTGTCCACTGCTGGTCACTGGACCGGTCCTCTGTGGGTCCTCAGAGGGGCAAGTGAGTGAGTAAAGCTGTGACTGCGTTGGTCTACTTTTGAAGACCTAAATTAATTAATCATTGTAATGGCATAATGTCAGCTGATTGAATATAGCCTATAAGCGAGGGTGGCACTAAAGAGTGAACGCAAGTCCGCATCCCTAACATTGAGATATTGCTTAAGCTACACACTCCCTGTGTTGATGCCTCAACATCTATATTATATTGGATAGGCCTATGTCCTTGTCATACTTCATGGTAAATAAAATATACATTTGTTTTTATAGTCTGTCAGTACATAATCTAGTCTAAATCTACTTTAGAATTATAGATGCAGGCTTGTTGTGACCAATTGTTTTATTTTCAATAACACACAACTATGATAAAGTCTACCAGGGCCAAGAAAACCTTTGAAAACGTTTTGTATTGATTGGAGCATAGAAGGTTTATTTTGCAGTCACATCTGTCTGTGTCTATTTATAACCCGATCACAGGCTGTTTTGCGTGGTGCTCAAAATTCTCAGTTTGAGCAGCTGTGAACCATGAGTAGGGCGAAAGCAACATACATTGTAAGTCTCCAAAGTCATCTCATTATATTTGTTAAGACTCATGCAGGTAAACAAAAGGTTAGTAAGTTGACACAAGTATCCATTCTTGTCTGGAGAAAAGTGCTATTTGGACCAGTGCCTATGTTGTTGGACAAGACGCTTCACTCACCTTACCTAGTACCAACACGCTCGCATGTCAGTCCAGCTTCACAATGATTCGTTCAATGCTGCAATGCTGAGTTCTTGTGTAAGCATCAGTGCTGGCTTCAGCTTAATGCACTGCTTAATGCACTGCTCTAGCACACACACTAAATAGTATTCTCTTACCAAATATCAGCAGTGTAAAGAAATCTACACACTCTATATATAGTAAGTGTGTACATTCCTGAACAGGTAATACTCCCACTTGTCGTACTGGGCTATATGGCTGTTGATTTGTTTGTTTGGAGAATCAAGGAATATGTTTTAAGAACATGTCTAACCAAATGATAAAGCTTAAGGACTTACATACAGTATCCTTGTTTTGATGTCTCTTACAGGCTGCTATTTTAACTTCCAGACTGGCCGTGCTGTGTAATGGAGCTGCTGCTCCAGAGGCCCATGGCCTATGTCTCTCTAACGTAGTGAGAGGTGAGCAAAGCTGGCCTCCTCCGGCCTCCCGCTGCCCCCAGATCCAGACCCTGACTCTGAGGGGCAGTGGCACACCCAAGAGGAGCAGTATGTGAGTGAGGGGGAACTCTGCCAGGGGGACACCCAACCAGCAGTGCCTGATTGCAGGGACGCTGAGACCATCACAGGTGACAAGAATTTTTTTGCAACACCAGAAAAAGTTCAAATGTCATATTGACCTGTTTTTCTGTAGATGTGTGCAACAGCACTGACCTGCCTGAGTTTGAAATCATCAGTCTGCTGGAGGAGCAGCTCCCTGTCTATCGTCTCCGGGCTGATACTGTCTATGGATACGACCATGACGACTGGCTGCACACGCCACTCGTCGCTCCAGAGACCAGTCTGGAACTGACCACAGAGCAGATCGAAGAAACACTCAAATACTTCTGTAAGTACCAACGAGTGCTTGTGCATTACGAGATCTATAAATCCTAGACTTATATCTGCTTATGAAGAAGTTTGAGAATTGGATTTTATAGTTTGTGGGTTGAAGTGTAACTTTCATATCCTCAAGTTTTTTTTTTATGAGAAAGAAAACAAAACGCACTACATACACTATACTAAACATCTGTTTATGTTAGAGTTAGAAGGCATATATTATTTTGGTCTAATAATGTGCAGAAGATAACTGGTGATGAGTCTGTTTTTACCTATCTAAAATTTAAACAGTTGAACAAACTTTTTTTGCATCTAATAATAACTAGACAGAATTTTATGTTCAAGTTGTAATTTGAACAGTATTACATGAAGTTTACTCTTTGGATGGTTAGGATGTAACTGCAGTGTTTTTGCAAAAGGGGGTGCTGTGTACTAATTTTCTATATGGTTACTATGGATGCTTTGTATTTGGCATAAATGAATATAAATGCAACTGCAATCAATAGTTTTGTGATAACATTTTGTACTTCCATGAAGTGGTGCAGTGGTAGTTGCCTTGCTTTGTAAAAGGTAGAAAAATACACATAAAAAACACAAGCTCACTTTTCAATTGGATGACCCCTGCTTTTCACAATCACATGATCCATTTGCAACTCATCGACTGCACAGATAGTGACCTCTCTAATAGTAATAGGCGCCCGTGCATGCTTTCACAGGTCTGAAAGCTGATGTAGTGCGTGTAGACTTTGTTTAGTAGTTCTGCTCAGGAGTGAGTGTATGCATGACAGTTCAACCTAGTTGTCATTTCTGCTCGACAATCTCAAAGTGAAGGGAAATGCAAGACATGGACAATGAACCCAGTTTGGACTTAATGAAGAAATATGAAACACAGCTGCATGACTGGGTTGATGCTGGAGACAAAAAAGGTAACTTTGGTAGTATCTACTTTGAAAAGTTATTGTGTTTTACTGGTTCACGTTGTGAATCCTAAGGTGTGTAATTTTTGTCTCAAAAATTGTTCCTTTTGGATGCATTTATATTTGTTGTTGATTTAACAATGTATTGTACCTTAGTTCTTGTAGTGCTCAATATTACAACAGCTGCCGTGGTCTCACAGGTCATTTCTTTTTTTTGTTATGCAGTTAACACTCCATATCTGAAAAATTGCCTTTGCTATTGTCACTGGTACCTGAATGTTTGGTACACTAACATTATTACAATTTACATATGTATATCACAATGTATTGAACTCGCAGAGAATGTCATTGATGTGAGCTGATGTCAATAAGCACTATCACCTCAGGGTAACAAAACTATTTGCTGTGCGCCATGGAAACAAGCCATTGCCCTTTAACTCTGACCCATGGCCCTTAGTGAGAGGTTGGTGATTGAAGCTTTACTTTGTAAATATAACCAGTCAACAGCTTCTGCAATAGTGTGAACTCTTTGTGTTACATAATTTTTTATGGTTGTATGCTGCCACAATGTGGCATTGTTGTTCAGAAATTGTGACATTTAAATTGCTTTGAACAAGGATGTATGCTATGAAATATATTTGTTTTTGCATATTTGACCCTGATTTTTTTTGTTTGTTTTTCACTTGCAGTGCTATGTGCAGACAGAGTGGGCCAGATGACAAAGACTTACAATGACATTGATGCTGTTACTCGACTATTGGAAGAGGCAAGTTATTATGTGTGATTTGCAATTAAATAGAAAACAGTAATAAAATACTACAATTTTAGCAAAGCAAATAAGATAATCTTTCCCATCAGTCTCCAAAAAAAGAAGAAAGTTGTTTTTAGTCGAATTTCTAAAAACCCAGGTTTAGAACAGCAACAATGGAAAAATGTGTTTCAGTTAAGGTGTGGGCCTATGGAACAGTCTACATGAAAAAATGTAAACTTCAAAATCTAAGTGTTGAGAAATATCAAATATTATATGTTACAAAAATATGGCAGAGTAACCTTTTCATTCACTCATTTCATTCATTGATGTATTGTAATTTTATATCCATCTTAAATGAATGAAACAAGACAATTTTATAATATACCTCTGTTATGCATTCATTTGGTGTTTGAAACATATTGTTTGTACTACATCACTACAGAAAGAGAGAGATTTGGAGCTGGCTGCTAAGATTGGACAAACACTCCTGAAGAAGAACCGTACTCTGACTGAGCAAAATGACTATCTGGAGGAACAAGTGGCACAGATCACAGAGGAGGTGCTTGGGCTGTTTTGTCATTATGTGATAACTGTGATAAATGCATTAATGTAATGTTTACATTTTCAGGTTGCCCAGCTACATCATGAACTGAATCTAAAAGATGAACTCCTGCAGTTTTACACCAATGCCGGAGAGGAAAGTGAAGAAGAACCTGGCAGCTCTCCAACGTCAGTTTTCTTCATAAAAAAAACAACAACGCTCAAACATTTGAGATTTTCAAACTAAATTTTTTGGTGTCACTTTAATTAGGGGTAGGAAAAGTAAGGTAGAGGCAGCATCTGGCGCCTTTGTGAGCGACACACTCCAGCGAAAACTCAAAGAGCTGGAGGAAGAGAACCTGTCACTGCGCTCAGAGGTGAGTGACCATACACTTTCAAACACATTAAAACAAGTGAACTAATGATTTATTTTTCTACGTAGGCTAGCCATCTGAAGTCAGAGACTGAAACTTATGAAGAAAAGGAACAACAGCTGGTTAATGACTGTGTCAATGAACTCAGTAAGCACTTATGCTTTGTAATTTGGATTTAATGAGGCAGTTTTATTTAGCCAATCATTTTACTTCTCATGCGTTTTTCTAGGATTGTCCAGTCTCCAGATCTCTGCCATTGCTGAAGAATTGGCACGAAAGACTGAAGATGCCTCTCGCCAGCAAGAGGAAATCACACACCTTCTGTCACAGATTGTTGATCTGCAGAAGAAGGCCAAATCCGTAAGGATGTTTTTCATCTCAAGTCACCAAAATGTCTTTATGACTAATTCACATGTCTGTGTGTGTAGTATGCTGTGGAGAACGAAGAGCTCTCTCAGCACCTGATTGCAGCAAAAGATGCCCAGAGGCAGCTCACAGCAGAGGTATCTTACTTAAGTACATTGATTAATGAATTATTAGACCATATGATGCTTCACATCATGTCTTATTGGGATCGGAAAAATAATAAGTCTTTTTTTGTTTTGCAGCTACAGGATCTGGAAGATAAATATTCTGAGTGTATTGAGATGCTGCACGAGGCTCAAGAAGAGCTGAAGAACCTCCGCAACAGAAACTATCCTGCGGGTACTCCCCGCCGTTACCATCCTCTGGGACTGTACCCCATGGTCAGTGCTGAGTGCTGCTTTGGGAAAGCACACAGCATCATAGATGTACTATGTGTTGCCATTTTTGTTGCAGGACTCCCTGGCTGCTGAAATTGAAGGAACTATGAGAAAAGAGTTGAGTATGGAGGACCCAGAGTGTGAGGAATTGAAGTAAGACTTGATAAATATAAAATATTGTTCCTCTCATGAGAAAGCTTTTACCAGAATAATTTAGAAATGCTTGATTTAAACTGAACTTGAAATAGAAGGATTCAGGATGTCTCTTTGTATCTCATATTGTTTATTATCCTTGAAGAAAGGTTCATAAGACAATTCTATAAGAACTAATGACAAAATTTATTTATCCATATATTACATTTGAATGATGTGCTGATTCTCTATGTGTTTTATGTGCAGGAGTCACCGTAAACGAGTGTTTGAGACTGTGAAGACTGTGAATCAGACAGTTCGACAGCGGTCACTCACTCCAACCAGCAACATCCCTGGATCAAACCAGTCTCTGTCTGCCCGCACATCCCCCCAGTCCAGTGGGCATACTACCCCACGCTCCACCATGTACAGTTCAGACAGCAACATCATGGACAACAGGACACAGAGTATTCTCATGGAAGTTGCAGAAAACCAGGACAGGTGAAAAGTCTCTAAGATTCACTTCTTCAACCATTGACTGTACTATTTATTAATTTGTGTATTTTGCAGCAATGCAGATCAAGAGAAGAAGGCCAGTGGGGCAGATGAGCTCCGCTTGGCTCTAAGAAGACTGTCCCTGCGTCGACAGAACAATCTGAGTGAGAGGCGATACTTTGAGGACGAGCGAGAACGCCGCAGAGGGGGGAACGGGGGGATCGGACTGAGCCATGAGACCCCAGTGACCCCCTCAGACAGCATCATGTCCTTGGGGAACCTCCAACTCTGGGCCACTAGGGGGCCCTACCTCCCTGATAAACTACAGATTGTGAAACCACTTGAAGGTGAGAGCAGAGAGAATGGGAGAAGCACCAAGACAGTCAAGAAATGGGATGGAGAAAGACATAGGAATGTTGGGACGAAAAAAGTTAGCAAACATTTGGGAGTGGTAGAGGGGGCCAGGAGAAGAGACACTAGACATGGGCATACTCTGGAGGGGGACAGGGCACGAGTATGGGGCTGGGTGAGGAAGACTGCAGCTGGCATAGAGAGGGAGAGAGGCAGGCGCTGGGCCCGGGACAGAGCAGGAAGTAGGAAGAACAAATGTCCCCAGGAGAGGAATGAGCGGCCCCTGTCACTCATGCTGTTTAACTCTTTTTGGTCTCTGATGCACCATCACAAATCAGGCAGCTTTACTTCTCCTCACTCTTACTACAAAGACACACGGCCCAGAGGTTGGCTCTAGGCACCAATATTACTGAGGCTTACATAAGCTGCCCAGAAACATAAGAGGTTTGGATTTCAAAGTGTAAGTGCAGGGAGAGTTAATCATCTGACTAATTAAATAACGGTAATATATAATATTAATCATTTATTCCATATTTTTCCCAGTGATTTATTGTAAATTTTAACCAGGTGCATACAATAAATGTCTGTAGTACCTTTTTTATCATGCTATTTCCCCCTTTCCATGATTGACGTTATTCAAATATATGTCAAGTTTGAACTTTTTAGCATTTTAGTCAGTTTACTAAACTAAGAATCACATAACATAGTTGCTTTTAGCACAACACTTATAAGATACTTCAGGATTGGTTGTTGGAAGACTATAGACTATAAATGAAAACTTGATTTGGAACTTTTTTTTTTTAATCTTGTGATACTATCTTACTACAGTCTTTTAGGGGACACTGTGCTGTCACTTGCTGGTAGTAGCATGTACTGTATTTCATTATTTCTGTAGTTTGTATATTTTTATTTGGGTTTGCTTTTCCATGTTTTCAAGTATCTTTTGCTTTGCATGCACTGTAATTCATTCCATCACTTTACACCACTGTTCTCTTTCATATTTAAAATTTTTCATGTGTCTGAACAATAAAACTCTTGATGCATTCATTCTGTTTCCATTTTCCATACTTTGCTTTATGTCTGTTTTGTGTTTTTGCTTTTACACCCACTTCTCTATCATTAGTTTTTTCTTATATATTCCTCTAAGTATATGTTACACATATCTGTCATTCTTATCTTCTTCCTATTCACACCATCAAAAATGGAAGAATCATACCAGTCTTCCATTGGGTTGGATTTTAAATGGTATGTTCAATGTATCAGTAAGTAGAGTAGGGCAACAGTGTTGAAAAAAAAAAGTCTGCTTCATTAATTAATTTAATTAATTAATTAATTAATTAGGTGGTTGAATGGAACTCTTTTACTAATGTTTCCCACAGGCTCTGCTACCCTGCACCACTGGCAACAGCTGGCACAGCCTCACCTTGGGGTGATCCTCGATGCCAGGCCGGGAGTTGTTTCTAAAGGATACAGGCCATTGGAACTGGAACTGGAACAGGTGTGAAGGAGTACCATTATCATGTGTTTTGTTTGTTTTTCTCCATACATTTCATATTTCTAACACTTTTTTGCTCTCCATTGTCATCTTGAGGTCTTCATAGATAGGTAGAAGTGAGTAATATGGGTCAAGTGTAGTTTCAATGATAAAATTGTTGCATGGTGATCAATCATGAATTTTCTTTACTGTTCTGTTCACCATGTTTTGAATGTATTATTGGTGATACAGAGTGCAATTTTCCTTTCAAACAATTATCAACTGAACATCATGTACTGGCTGTGACCCCATTCTGAAGATGGTTCCATGTACCACAGTAGTCACTCATGCACCTGGTGCCCATGCATGCTGTGCTCTGCAGGCATATCCGTGGGGCGGCTTTGAAGAGGATGAGCCTGGGGAGCAGTACTTCCAGAATCTGCCTACCTCCTCAGCTGCTGCCACCCCTGCTGTCCCCACTACCTCCGCCCCCTCTAGCAGCAGTGAGACTCCTCAGTCTGCCTCCAGCCTGGCTCCTCCCACACCACCATCTCCATCACCATCGCCACATCTCAGCAACACTGATGGCCTGGGTAAGAGTTTAATAGAGCATATTTCAATTTGATCAGATTTTACATTTGCAGTGTTATGGTGCTTTATTGATCATAAAAATTGTGTGTCTGGGTTTGGGTCTCCAGCTGCATACTATCCAGGTAAATGCATGGCCCACACCAGTTCTACGTACACTTTCACAACTTGTCGGATTCTTCACCCAACTGATGAGCAAACCCGGGTCACACCAAGGTATTTCACCAAATTATTATAATTTGACTTTTTAACCTGTACATTTGAATATTTTATAACTGTTAATGATAACAATAATTATGAGGTGTTCCACTACTATAATAAAAACATTTTGATCTTTTTCTTCCTCTCATAGTCTTAATGCAGTCCCAGCATCATCTTCATGTGTAATGACTAGTTCTTTGTTGGGTACTCCTGCTGTTACGCCTTGCACCCCACGCAGACTCAGTCTCAGGCCATCTGAATCGTCAACTAACCTCAGGTGAATCTTTAACACTTATTTAGTAACATATATTAGGAGTCAGCAGCCTCTGAACTTTTGGTACTAAAAGGTCACCTGGCAGATTGGTGGCAGTAGTGTTTCCTGTTTACGTGACCTACTAGACAACAATGCTCCATCCATCCCTTTTATTCCTTTTTCAAGGTGATTAACTATTTATTATTTCTGCAGAGATGCCACTCGCACCACCAGCATGTCCTTGGGGTTGGTGCGTTTACTCCAGGAGCGGGGGATCTCAGCAGCCATGTATCACCATAACCAGAGTCTGGAGTATGGCCAAGGCAGTGGTGGGGTCTTATTTAGTACTTCTGTTGCTCCTAACAGAATGACCATGCCTAACACTCTGCGGCCTTCTACTCCTCCTAACTCCCCCACGTCACAGGCAGCTTTAACCACCTCCACATCAGCAGGATTTGACTTTAAGAGCCCATCGTATGACAACTTCCTGGCATCCAAACCAGCACGATCCATTCTGAAGGAGGTGACTGGTGGATTGAGAGGGCGGCAGAGAGGCAGAGACTGTGAAAGCCAGACTGATGTCAGTGTAAGCATTCACAATCTAAACCTACTGGACAAAGTTAAGCGGCTTGGTGTGTCTGGTGCTCCAGGAGGCAGAGCCATTAGTCCTGGCCCTATCCTGGGACCTCTGGGTGGGCTGCGCAGATCCGGCTCTCCTTTTGGGCCTGATGGGATAAGGAGGAACCGGAGTTATCCAGCAATGGTTGGAGCCAGCATGGCCATGAAGGCCCCAGGGCCCCAGGAGTAGTCATGAGTTTTGGCTGTTCAAGTCGTCTGGAGCCCAGGCACAAAGCCACCACTCTTTATAATGTTTGCCAGAAACATGGTACTATCGGATAACTTCCTCTGCTCAATTATGTTGACTACTACTTGATAAGAATCTGCTTTTAAAACCTCATATGTATGCAAATCAATCCATGCAGACCATTGCACTATTATTTGCATTAAAACCCTTGATTATTAACACTCAAGTTAACACACAAAAGTAGGTTAGTAAAAGATGCTTTGAATATGAGCATTCCTGCATGGTACAATAGTAGCCTCACCTGTCAGGCTAGAATAGACAGGATAAAAGTGATAACATTGACAACCTAAAGTCATTATGTTTCAAGCAATGCATTATCCCTGAGATGCACAGATTTCACAGAATTCTCTATTCAAGCAAGTTCCTTCCAAGTAGACATAAACTATATATAATTTCACTTTATATCCCTTAAGTCAAGCATGTGATGTCTTTTGGAGTCTGACTCTGCTGGTTAGATGTAGTACTCCCACCACCCTTTTTCACAAATAAAAAAATACTCTTTCATACAGGCACAACATCTGTCCCCTTTATCAAAAGGATGTAGCACCTATTTAATTTTGTATATGGTGGAATATTATGAAATGTGATCAAATACATGAATAATATGTCCTCTATATTGTTGTTTTGTTTACACCTTTAGTCTTTAGTATTTGGTGGTGGTTTTCTAAGTGGAAGTCAAAAAGTGGGTGGAAGAGGATGAAGATGGCTATTGTGAAAATGGAATACTGTATGAATATATTAGTGCCTCAACCTTTGTCTTTGTTTAGTGTTGGGTATGTGCAGGTAAAAGGACTGCATACATGTTGCACTTTTCTCTTTAATTTATTTTAAGTATTATTTATGTTAAGTTTTCAGTTGTTTCACACATTGTATATTTGTATATACCTGAATACTGGCGATGCAATGGTGGCAGGATCACATTCTGCTATTGTAATGATCTGTACTCTAAAGATGGAGAGCTTGTTGTCAGGGTTTTCCCTAAAATAAATTACATCTGTAAACATACTGTTATGTTTTATGACCTTGACTATCTGCTAATAGAATACAAAGTATTGCTATTTTAAGTGGTGTATTGCTATTTTAAAGGTGCTTGCTTTGCTATCACAGCAGTCTCATAAACACAGGAGGTGTAAGTGGTTCTATTCTCGTCCAGCAGGTGGTGCTCGCAATGTGGTTTTGGTCTTTAAAAAGCGTCTCTAAACGCACTCCTTTCTGCCGTGGTCATCTGTTGAACGATCCATTTGTCTGATGCATTGAGATGGAAATAAAAGTGTGCATTAAACTCACATTAGCGCAGAGAATCAGGTAAGCAATCACTGAGACATCACCGTGACAACTGAGAACTATTGTAATCACAAGAAATGAGTTTGAAAATGTCACAACGTGTCTTGCAAAGTCTCATTAGCTCTCACCTGCAAATGATAGCTAACAGTTCATAAAAAACAGGAATCATATGAAGCGTGGTATAAATAGTGCGCCAGATTCCCTCAATTCAAAGTAAATGGTACAGAAGAAGATAGGCCTTGTGTGGTTTTATTCTTCGACTTTGCTTGCAGCAGATAACTGTAGGCAATAGTCCTTAGTGCTTGCCATTCTTACCTTGTGTAAAGCACACAAGGTAGGGCTAGAGTCCAGATTGGACTACATTGGTGGTCCAATGTGCAAGGTTCAAAGTTCTGTACATGGTCATCACATCAAACATACTGTAAGTTTGGTCTAAAATAAGATGTAGAGATTTGCAGACCAGGCTACTGTAAAGGCTGTGGAAACTGATGGTTGTGTGAATATTCTACTGCAGCACATAGGATAGTCAAAGGGCTGGTTACTTTTTTATTTATTTTTATTTTTATTTTGATATTTCTACTTAAGTAATATTTATTTTGCTACCTATTCCCGTATTAATCATTACCTAGAACAATCATCAACAATTATTTAATATTTTTTGCCAGTTAAATACTTTTTAACCCCCTACTTTGCCTATTGCATCAGAAACACTCTCTTTTTCAAGGAGAGTTTCATGTCAAGGACACATTTTATGCTTCAAGTTCCATTTTTTATGTTGCTAAAGTGTTGCTTCACTTCACTGTCAGGGGCTTTCCTGTAGACCAGACATAGTAGACCAGACCAAGGACCTGTTTGTGCATATAGATTACCCAACAATGTGCTTGCTACAAGTGGAGAAAGCCTAGAACCAAATCAGACCACCTCCAGTTCAAAAATGATTAATAACATTATTGTTGACATTCTTTAACAGTGGATCATAGAACATCATTTTTTTCCTTTCTACAGCACATATTACATTTGGAATAGTAACACATTTTTGAAACTAATTAAAAACTTGGAAATAATACAGACTTGATTCTTCATGTTCCCCATGCCCCTAAAATGCCATATTGACTCAAAATATTTCTGCCTTGAGAATTCAGAATGGAATTGTATTTGCCATACGCTTCTTGTGCCAATAAATGCTTTAAAGTGTTCTATAGAAAAGTGAAATTGTGAACAACATAAGGGCGAAAGATGAAGTAGTGGTGCCAGAATGAAGATATCCCACCATCTGCTCATGACAATGCCGCCGCTTTTCAGTCACACTCATGTTGTTTCCATGAGTGTGTTGGGGCTTCTCACCATTAGCACACAGACCAACAGCACTTAGCCATGTAGCGCTACTTCAGTGGCTCTAAAGCAGCACTGTGGCCTCCTGACCTTTCCTGTGCATCATCAGCTGTTCTCATCTCTGTACTTTCACTGAAACACCTAGAGTCTCCATAAGCTTTAACCTCTAACTCCCCACCCTGAGAACACAAAGTCAGCCCCCAACCCCACAGTTCTTCTTCCAAACCTGCATTTTGGTTTATTCCTTATTCAAGAGAGCGACATACAACAGACTTCTCCCTCAAGGCATCCACACCACTTGACTGAATAATTCACCCTGGCTGTCTTTGTTCATCGATCCCCTCCCCTCTCTGCACAGCACACACATGCAGACACATTTTTCACTTAACTCAAGTGGCCAGAAGCTGCATAATAGGCCACTTCATCACTATTCTCTCCACCACTATGACGCTCACATCTTTGGCTGTTGTCATACTCTCTGCAACTTGATTTTACACAAACTACTGACCTTTGGACAGATACCAAATGATTACACATACACTGCATATTCTTGAAAGTTTTTATTTATTGTGTAGAAAACTTTGGGAAAGTTATGTAAGGTGGCCAAAATGTTGTATATTGTGTTTTAAAAGTCAGAAGTCTGATACTGATGAAACCATACTAAACATTATAGTAAATAGCACTTATATGTAGGAGTTTTATGTTATGTTACATAGGTGCACTATGTAACTCTTCTGGTGGGTGGCCTCCATTACTTTTTCTAAAGTATTGATTTACACAGTTACAGGTGTTTTTCTTAAACATGTGAAAAACATGCAGTCATGTCTGCACTTGTGACTTGACCTGGTGGCGATACCTACTAGTTTCCATTTGAATAAATTAATGCTATAACTACAACAAGCAAAAGCAATGACCCACCACCAGGAAAGTTACCTTGTGCTCGTGTAAATATTATATGATGGAAATATGTAATTTCTACTTTCAGTAGAATGAGTGTTTACTCCTCAACAAGATCTTCAAATCAAGTCCATGCTTCGCATTTACTCCTAAACAAACATATTTTTGAGTTTGTGGCCAGTTTTTATTTAAAGATTCACACATGTTTTGGCCTAGGTCCTATGCAGTACCTATGGATGTCAAATCAACAGCAATTTGAAAGATTTATTTTGGGACTTTAATAAATAATTCAGTACGACCTGTTTCTCCAACACCCAAGTGTTCAGTGTTTAACTCGGATGTTAGCGCTCATAACAATCTTGCTGCTCTTTTGAAGACACTCTCTAGCTTCACTGTGAGTGTGCATTCACTGTCTTTGATCTTCTCTGAGTCTATCTGGCTTCTAAAACCACCAACTTTTCCCATGATTCTCTCTGGTCCAGTACTTCTTGCATACATGTTACGTCTCCTTAAAAACCTTTTGTAAAATGACTTTCGACCCATTAGCTCCACATACTAACAGTGAGAGTTTACATAATTGTGGTGTTCTGCATTAACATAATCCAGTCATGTCCAATTATAGCTGTGATATAGATATGTATACTAGGAAATAAAGGGTAATAGATGTGTTCTTTTGATTCTCAGTTAAAACCTGAATGATCTGTTCATTTATTCATCATCTCTCAGGAATAATTGCATTTTGATTTTCAGTACACCATAGAGATGATGTAGTATGAAGTATGATTGCTTAATATAGTCCAAATGTTGTCTCTTTACATTACCCTAAGTAAGTAGGTCTAACTGACAGTGACTCTGGAAAATAGAATTGTCAGTGAACCAGATTAACCCATCACCTATGGATTTAGGGAATAATAGAATTTTAAACTGATATCGTTTTAATGGTAATTTCATACAGGCTGAGGTGCTTAAAAGATGAAGTGCTGTAGAACAACAAGGTCTCTTAAGAATAATCTAAACAGCTACAGTGATCTGACATAAAATATATGTCAATTTTATCTTAGTAATAGTAATATCATATGTATTAGATACTAGTGTATGCAGAAGAACCAGGCCTTTAAATAATTAATGAATGTACTTGAATCATACTGTGTGTATAAATAATGAACAACATGGAAATATACATTTTTCTCTTTTATTGAGTCCAGTGAAACTCAGCAGCCCCACTGCCACCAGCACAATTCTCACCACCCCAAATCATAAAGAAACTAGAAACAAACAGACAAACCATGGACAGTAAGAGTTTTCTGCAAAATTTGGCATATGTATATATTGCATCATTACAGTTTTACAAACCAATGTACAACAAATACATCTCAAATAAATGTTTTATTGTGAGACAGTGAAGAGCCAGCTTGATTTTATATTTTGTATTTTCCTTTCTTCACTTTCTTACGAGGGATATTCATATTCCTCTGCACTGCGCCGCCCGAAGTCCATCCAGCCCAAATAGTCCCTGTCTGCTATCCGGTGGTTGGCACTGAGAGCACTGCTTCTGCTGTTGGCTGTGGAGTTTCTGCGCACGGACCCTGGGAGGAAGAGTAAAGAGAAGCATGATGTAAGAAATAGAGATTCTCATTGCAATGTTTTGGTAAGAAATGAAATCTTTCCTCCCTATTCTACGCTCACGAAACTAAACTAAACAAAAATTCACGATTCACGATTGCATGGTTTTTCCATTCACAGCAAACAGCCTTTTAATTTTCCTGTCTCACTGGGTTTCGACATTTTAATTACCAAGTAGTAGATCCACCCATAACATGTGTTTCATTATAAAGGGCACAGAGCAGCTGGACCTTAGCCTGACAACATACTATCAACACATTTTCATTGTTTTTCAGCTTTCTCAGTCTGAAATGAAATCCTTACAATAAAATAAAAAGTTTGGACCGTTAATGGGTTGGTAATCAATTTTATGCTCACACAAAGATTTTGATCTCCAACCCACCCACGGCCGCCTCCGCACACATGCACGCGCATAAACAGAGCTCCCTGGCGAGTTGAGGAGCCTGGCTGCAGAAGGCTTGACAATGACACCTCCCACTATGAAAGATGCAAGTGAACAGCAAGCAAATCAACACCCACTGCCACCACAGACACACACTTGGAGTTTATATTATTAAGTGGCAGTGTACCCTTTGACTCTTTTTATCACCAGATGACCACTTTATGAGATTGTTTGCTATAAACTTGCAGCTACTATATTTGAAAATGAATATAGTTTAGTTATTTTACATGGTTTTGTCCCACTCTGACAACAATGATCTTGTCTCTGTCTCTCTAGATTCGTACGGGAATCGTCAGTTGTTCAGAATTCTCAGTTAGTGGAAATGAAGATGCTCCCTAACCACAAAGAAGATATGTGTTCTTCAACAGAACGATCAACAAAGAACAAAGAGTGATCAACTTGGGGTAAGATGGAAGTAAGATAAGTAAAGAGCCTGTTGTCCGGAAGACTGAACAACTAATACACGCACTTTCAAACCACAAAAGCTTTTCAGGACCACTAATTCATTTTACAAAGCACCACTGTACTGATTGCAAGTAATTAGCATCAATGTTGGAAGGCAGCAGGAAAAGCACTAATGTACAACAAAGCTCTGGCCACATGTTAACCACAAAAAAACACACAAGTAACAATTGCATTCAAACATCAAACAGAATGTGAACAAATGTACCTTTTCTAGATGAGATTATTCTAGCCAGGAGCTCACTCAGGTTGGCTCTAGAGTCTGCTTCCTCCTCAGAAGGGGGCAGAGATTTGAGCGAGACAGAGCGCTTGTGTCTGGAGTGGGGCTCTCCAAAAGTGTGCATGTCGGTCCCAGGATGGGCTGTGGCATAGGATATGGCAGGATTAGGATCAAAGTAAAATTGAGGTGTTTTGATAGTGTTACTTTGGACCTACCTTCATTTGGAGCAGAGACGGAGCGTTGTCCCTGATCATGGGTTGGTGTGGAGAAGGGGAGCCCCAAACAGCTTGTGCATAAGACCGCGAGTAGGACGCACACACACAGCCCCGCCGTCATCTGGACAAGAGAGGAAAAGGCTTTAAATGATTTCTACATGTACTATGAACCTCCTATGTGTGCATTCTGGCATTGTATCTCAGTGTTCTCCCTTTCAGATAATGCATAAGCATACTGGACTTTCTAATTTTTGGGTATATTTAATCTTCTCAAAACTTTTTAATTTTCAAATGGCAGTCAGTTTTTGTAATATACAATTTCTGTCCATTAAAGTTAAGGCATATTGAATAGTCTCAATGCAACAAAACATGCAAACAGAAATGGGTATGAAGAAATAAACTAAACCTTAACATAAAATAAGTATAAAAGAAAAATACTCATTTAATAAATTAAGCATTATTGCATTACATTGTTGCAAAAACATTTAGATAAATTATTTTGTTTTATTACACTAACAATTTATAAATAAAGGCAAATATTCTCAAACAATTGCGTTTTATATGTGCTTACCTTGAGAATAGGCGTAGTGTCTGTAGGAGCAGTGAGAGCAGTGAGAACACTTGTGCGCTCATTGGGAGACTGGCCCCTTTTATAGTGGGCTCCGGCTCTGTGTGTGTGTGTGTGTGTGTGCTGTGTGCTGCAGCTTACAGCATGTGTATTGGCTTTGTGCATCTCCAAGTCAATGTGTGTTATGGTTACAAGCTTATTATTCTGGTGGGCTTTTGTTAGTAATTAGGGTCTTAGAAGTATGTTTAATATATCTGGAATATTCAGTTAAAATACACTTTTAATGTTTATTTCTTTTGTATTCTCAACCCTAAGTCATGGGAAGTCACGTTTCTATGTAGAAAGCGCCCTGCGTCAGACCGAAGGGAGAGACGTCAGTTGTACGTAGTGCACACGTCTTTAGTACATCTATGTCATTGTGCACTGCTATGAAAAAATGATCTTTTATTAGACAAGTATAAGTAGAGTATTTTTGAGGCAGCAAAGGGGCAGCAGAGTTGTTGACTGTAATTATCGAAATATTAAATCAAAATTGTATAACTGTTACTAATTATGCTCTACAAGTTAAGGCTATAGATGACTTGTTCAGTGCAGTAGAATGGTAAGTTGTAGATGTAATGAATAGAAAGAGTGTTATTCTGTTACTTGATATTACATTTTTTAGGACTTGCTAGGTAATTTTTACAATTTTTTTTTTTTTATATCAGATGCCCTTCCTATTGCAACTGGCCATATGATATTGACTGGAATAGTGTTGGTGAAACCTCTTGCCTAAAGATAAAACATCAGGAAGGTTCAATCAACTAACCAACCCTTTGATGATTTACCACTTAACCTCTATATATGAAGCTATATTATTTGCCATTTTTAAAGTTTCAAAACCTGTGATGCATGTTGTATGAGTGAGCAAGGCATGTTAATAAAAATGATAAAATAGCCAAAAGTTTAAAGAAGATTGGATAATTCCCCAGATATCTTGCCACGAGTGGGCCGTCATGTGGGTGGCAGGGTGAATGGGGAGGTTGAGTATCCGTACACGCCCACCCAGGCAGGAGATGTCAGCGGAGGCAGTAGCTGGATCCGTGGGTGGAAGCTGAAAAAAAATCTAGTATCTTGAGTTTTCTTCATTTAGCAGGTTTGTGGGATCCAAAATGAGATGCCTCAGTCTCGCTGTAACCACACAGGATTCACCCTGCTTCATTGATAATACATGCAGGTGAAGCGATCAATCAGATGTGGTCAATAACTATGGATTGGCTGTTGAGACCTATTGTGTATTTTAACGAGGTTGAGTGTCCGCTGTGGTATGAGAGGATTAGCTGGCGGTTACCACATTGCAACAGTTTTTCCTCTCCTGAGACAGCTATTTTGAATATGTGCACAGTAAAATGGAGCATGGAGAGTTTCTATTGGCAGAAATAATCCACAAGGGAATTGCACTTGCACACACGCACGCACACGTACACACACACACTTCCTTAAGGGCTTTAGGCATGGTTTAAGCAGTATACACATTTTAATAACAAATATTTGCAAAATTGAATTGTAGGACATGCATATAATGATTGGTAGTGCTTGAAATCTCTTCAGAAGTAACACTGAAAAATTTATCAATAGCATTTTTAGGTAGATGAATCTTTTTTTGACAGCCAAACAACCCATTTCTCCATAATTTTCATCTTGTTTTATTCATTCATGATTGTAGAGGGACCCATGAGCCAAAGAGAGGACCACTTTGAACTAGCAGATGCTGGTGGCAAAGTCACTAGCTGTACGTCTTTGCATCATGACTGTGTTTCCATATCCTTGCTATAAAATGGGTGTCAGTCACCACCACATCTGATATGAGGAAGCCAAGACCTCATATCAGATCTAATATGAGGAAGCCAAGTCTGAGGTTTCCCTCAAATGTAACACACTTAACAAAAAAAAAAAAAAAAAAAAACATCACAGGTTGAGCGGTCAGATCCACTGACCCACAGGTTGGCTGGTGTGATTCCAGCTCCCACAGAATGAATGCTGTCGTTGTGTCCTTGGGCAAGACACTTAACCCACCTTGCCCACAGTGTCTGCGTACACTGGTGTGTGAATGTATGTGTGAATGGGTGAGTGGTTCCTTGTTGTAAAGCGCTTTGAGTGCTTGAAGGTGGAAAAGTGCTATAGAAAAATGTGATCATTTACCATTTACTTTGTTCCACCTTGCCACTGTGTTTTTAAACTCCATACACCTTCACTAGAATCATTTGGATATTTTTAGTCCTGTAAGTTAAAAGGTAGGTGTTAACTTCAAAACTACCGCTTTGTGACATCACATGGTGGAACGGAGTATTTTGTAATAATAATAAGGATTACTCAAACTTCAGGTTTGGCTTAAAGCTCACAAGAGTCAATTTTGTGTTTGCCAAACTTTTTTGGGGGGGACTCATATTTTAAAAGTCACAAAACTTGACCCAAGTCAATAGACATTATTGGTAAATCAAAAAATAAAGGTGGAGTTGACCATTATTGAACATTAATGAGGATATTTTATTGTTGACTGACTAACTGAATCAGCAGTAAAAGTTTTCCATAAGTCACCTATTTAGACATTAAGTGTAGCCTGTTTCTTTTTCTTTTCAACCCCCCCGCAACCCGGCCCCGGATAAGCGGACGAAAATGGATGGATGGATGGATGTTTCTTTTTCTTTTCAACATTCATTGAACCAGCAATATTGCAACAAAATAGTCACTAAAATAATTACAAAAAGATTAGAACTGGTACAAAACATGTTTTAACATTTCAGCATTTCTAATGAGATAGGTGGGACTGTTTGCATTTTTGTAGCACGTTCCAGTCTGGGGTGCAGGAGGAGAGCACGACACGCATATCAGGTGCAGCATTCGGTCTGTTTTTGTGCTTTGCCTTTGTCAGAACTATATATTGCAGACCTACATGCAGATTGTGACAAGACGACCCAAAAAAATCTCTTGCAACCCACCTGAGGGTCGCGACCCAGTCTTTGTGAAACAATGATGTAGACAATTTAATATATAATATATATAAACAATTGTTTCATTATGAATTAAGTCTTTGTTTATGCTTTATTAAGGCAAATTTATTGACCTTATTTAACCAGTATATGTAGCAGTAGTTTTTATTATTTATATATCTACATACAGAAATAGAGAAAACAGTAAAAACATTTTAAGGCAATGGCAGAGTAGATTTTTGAGCTATGCCTTTTTCATTCTTACCAATAGAAATGAAAGTACCAAAGTTCCCCCATATGTCAGACAGAGATGATGAGAGCACCTGGTCACATGTCTCACTCTGTCTATAGACTTTTCATTTTCACTTGACTGTTTCTTTTTCTCCTCTCCCTTTCTCTAAGCCCCTTCTCTCCCTCTCTCTTTCTCTCCCTGTACATCTATCTTGCTCACTCTCTTTCTCTACCATTCTCTCTCTTTCTCTCCCTCGTTCCATAGCTGTGGAGTTGTCTCCGGGCTCCATCACAAGGCACGTGTGTGGGAGGTGAGGCCATGGGCGTTCAAATTAGAATTAATTAAGCATGTGGTGTGGGAGGCAGACATGTGCGCCAAATGTGTGTGTCCCTAAGAGTCTAAGAGACTCTGGACTCCTCTACACAAAAGTATCCAAAATAGAGACAGCTTCAGTTCACAGCCTGGAGGCAACCTGTTGTATCTGCTTACTCTCTCACCTCTATGAGTGGGCGAGCGGGCAATCTGTTTCCACTAAGTTTAAGCGTGGAATTCACATCTGGACTTTCACAGTGGCTCAAATATTCAATAGTTCACAGGCTTTATAGATCATGATGCTGTTTTATAATGAGGCAAAGCAATCGAACGCTTCCGTACTTACACATCTTAGTCGAGGAAAAAAAGTTGTACATAATTCATTCTGCTTATAGTTATAGTGATAAGAGAACAAATTGTATCTTGGTTTTATTATGATATTTTTTACCCCTTTAAAGAGAATCTGGTATTCAACTGGTTTTCAATTGGATGTTCTTTTATCTAAAGAACAAAAAGGAACAAAATGAACCATTGAGTATTGTAGTAAAAGGGAAATCACAGGGCACATTGACATTCAAACTATGTGTGCTTTTCAAAGTATTCTTCTAATGTATTAGTAATTTTCACATTGCTTGCCCACATACATAATTTTTGCACATGGGTTCATATTTTTTATGCACATTCTAATAGATTTATATTTTGTATTTGCATTTAGTTCAATTATTATTATTCCAGTGTAGATTATACAACTTGTAGTATTTATAAGATGATTGCACACCAAAATAAGAGGCAATTATCTTGACAATTATAACCTTTTGCAAGTCATTTAATATTTTTCTGAAGTGCAGAGCTATTTGACCTCCCAGCACAACCACACACTTAAGTGATGTTGTGGCCCAACCTTCTTGCCAAACTCTGATGTTGTTAGATTTCAGAACCTAAGCAGGGCAGGGCCTGGTTAGTACTTGGACTGGTGACGCTGGGAATTTCGGGTGCTGAAACTGATGTTGTGTCTTTAGGCAAGACACTACATCCATATTGTCTAGTATGACTGTGGTGTGTGCTTGAGTGTTGGTGGGGGTCTGAGGAGCCAGTGGTGCAGATTGGCAGCATCCAACAGTCTGTCCTTGGGCAATAGTGGTTAGAATAGTATCCTACCACCACTGAGTGAATGAATAATGCACCAAATTATGGAGGAAGTGTTTGGAAAAATGCTATATAAGACTAATGCATTATTATTATATTCTTAATGCAATACATAGTACAATTGAAGCAAATTCACTTACTAATGCTGAATGCCTATGTGTGAAGCTAGTTATGGCAGAGGAATTAAACTTAAGACTTAGACAAATTTTACTGATCCACAAGGGAAATTATTTGGACACAATAGCTCACACATCACAATAAAATATTATAACAAAGAGAAAAAATATAAATGGTAATAATAAATTCTAAATAAGTAGCAAAAAAGAAAGAAAAGAGACACGTGTCAAATAAGACATAATTATGTAAATGTAAATGTACAA